ATGGTACTGGAGAAATAGCTGCTACATGTTGAGACACTGGGTGGTAGCTTGAGCATATATGAGCTCTCAAAGACAACCTCCACAGTCATTGACACACTTCCTCCAACAAGACCACACCCACTCCAAGGCCACACCTCCTTATAGTGCCGCTCCTTTTGGGTTTATGGGGGCCAATTGTACTCAAACTATCATAACAGAAAAACCCTGCCTGGGGGGGGAGGGGGGGAGAAAGAGAGAATAAAAAAATCATGGATAAATGTTTGCTCGAATGATATGACAGCATGGCCTTGAACTGTCTCTGCCTCCTCAGGGCTAGGATTATACATGTGCACTGCCACTACACCAACTTTAATCCTGAGTTTTAACTGAACCTTTAAGTCACAGTGTGTGTGTGTGTGTGTGTGTGTGTGTGTGTGTGTGTGTGTGTGTGTTGTTTACACATTAAATACTTTTGTTGCTTTAATATGAAACTGAACATCCCCAAATCTTTTCAATAGTACTCTCTTCCTTCAGCTGTCCCCTAACTGGTGACTTCTCCATTAAATTCTCAAATTAAGTATCACCCTCCTCAAAGGGTCCTTACAGTCCTTCTACACTAGGCCCCCTCCAACACTTCCGTCTATGTTGCCATTTCCTCCGTAACCCTTGGGGTGCCATTTGTAGCTACTTTGTTCATTCTATTTACTTGGATAGTTTTTTAATAAACTAGTTTTAGTAAACATATGTATCATTCTTTGTTGGTTCTTTAAGACCTCCTAGACAGCTGCAAGCTTCCACAGACACTGAATCAGCCCTCACATGTTGGTGCATGCCTATATTCCCAGTGCTCTAAATGGCTAGAGTCAGTGTAGCCTAGGCTACCTAAGGAGACTTTGTCTCAAAAAGAAAGGAAGGAAAGGAGAGAGAGAGAGAGAGAGAGAGAGAGAGAGAGAGAGAGAGAGAGAACACTAGGATCTGAAATAAATAAGAACTTAACGTTGTTTTTTGGGGGGAGGCAGAAGGGTGGAAACAAGCTCTCAGGTAGCTCAGACTGGTTTAGGCCTTCTGTCTCCATCTTCCCTGTGTAGGAATTATAGGACTGTGCCATCACACAAAGCTTTGATATCCAACAAAGCTTTGATAAAAGCTCTTGTGACATATCCTGTTGACTGGGGGACAGAAGAACCGAAAACTGCCTTAAAACCTAGTGTAAATTAGAAGTGGAGGCCGGGCAGTGGTGGCACAAGCCTTGAGAGGCAGAAGCAGGCGCGTCTCTGAGTTCGAGGCCAGCCTGGTCGACAGCGCGGATGCCAGGACAGCCAGGGCTCCACAGAGAAGCCCTGTCATGGGGAGAACGAAGTGGAGCGGCGGGCACGTGGCTCTCCCAAGGGTGAGCTCTTCCTTTACACCTTCGCTCCTCCCAGGGCCTCGGTCTGACTGACAGGAGGAGGGCGCTCGTCAGCGTTCGTGGCGGCGCGGCCTCTGTTCCCGGGAGGGCTCCGGCTCTCAGGAGCGGAAGGCAGGAGAGCCCCGGCTCCCCGCTATCCGCCAGGGGGCGGAGCCTCCTCCCGCGGGGGCTCCTGGGAGGGCCTGAGTGTTCGCGAGGGGCGGGCAGGAGTCCAAGCTTCTCGGTATTCATGAGTGGGCGGGGCTTCCTCCCGCTGGGGCTCCTGGGAGAATTCTAAAATATACTTGAGGCGCGGGGGGCGCCCGAGAGCTGAGGAGGCAGCTGTGGAGCGGGGCGGAGCCGGGCGGAGCCGAGCGGAGCGGAGCGGAGCCGAGCGGGATCCTCCCCCGTCCTCTGGCGGGAAAAGCCTGAGGAGGTTTGTTTAAGTACTGTGGAGTCTGAGGATGCAGAGTCAGGACGACTAAATCTCACTCTCCTGTGACACTGTAGCCGGAAAACTGTCGAAATCTGTGGTAAAAAGTGTTTTCTCTTCCCCAGTACTTTCTTGTGGAAATAATTCCGCGCTCTCCAGCACCTCCTGTTTGATTTTCATATTGGCCAGTTTCTTCTGGGGTCCCCTAGAGGACGTCTTCAGAGACGATGAGGGCTGACATCGGAACTTTAAAACAAATCCCGACATTTTGCTGGGTCTCCCCCACTCGGAAGGGAATGTGGGGGCAGAGACGAGGATCAGGCCCTAGACCCTCCCACCCTTAGTGGGTGGGACGAGCTGGCCTGTCACCCAGCTTTTCCGAAGGCTGAATGAAGCTTGTGAGCTTCATGCCCTAGAAGGCTGAGAGAAATAGTTTCACAAAAACCTGCCCTCCTCCACCTCTAAAATAGATCTGAGTGAGGAAAATAAGAGACAAAGATTTTTTTGGTTTTTGAGACAGGGTTTCTCTAGCCCTGGCTGTCACCAGGCTGGCCTCGAACTAAGAGATCTGCCTGCCTCTGTCTCCCTAGTGCTGGGGATTAAAGGCGTGCCACCAATGCCTGGTCCGGACATAAGTTTTGAAATAAGTAAGGCCAGTTACTTTAGTCCTTCAGAGATTTAAATGAAAAATTATGCATACACTTATGTCTAACCCCTTAGTGGACGATGAAGACTCCTGGGAGGAGATGGTCAATGAGTCTTTGAAGGGTCCACAACCCCACCCTAGCTTTACTCTGTAGAAGTTCCTGGAAGAAGAGGCACAAATCAGAACCTAGGTCAAATTTATACTTTATTATAGTGAATATGCTTTAAAATTAAGGTGGACAGTGGTGGGTGGCACTGGGGAGGCAGAAGCAGACAGAGTGTGAGTTTGAGGGCAGCCTGGGCGACAGGGCAAATTCAGTATAAGGTAGGGCTACCTAGAGAAGCCCTGTCTCGAAAAACAAAACAAAAAAAGTTAAAATTAAAAACAGCCTTACTGATTAATTCAGTCAAAATTCTTCCACTTGGAATTATATGAAGATACTAAAATACATATTATTGTAGAAAAGCATGTATTAGCATATAATTACATTGAAACAAGATTACAATATTGTACAAATACCTACCTTTAAAAAGAAATACTTGGGCCTGGTGTGTTGGTGGTACAGTCCTTTAATCCCAGCACTCAGGAAGCAGAGGCAGAAAGATTTCTGTGAGTTCGAGTCCAGCCTGGTCTGCATAGCTAGTTCCAGAACAGGCTCCAAAGCAATACAGAGAAATCCTGTCTCCAAAAAACAAACAAACAGAATAAATAAATAAATAAAATGTATTATTACTTTCACAATAATATAAACACTAAATGAATTCTTTCATTTAGTTATATTTTGTAAGCATTTGACATATAACTTCATTATTTATAATTACTAATTTAAAATTTCACTGAATGCTGAAGCAAAACACAGTTATAGTCCATATTTTTGTTGTTGTTGTTATTGCTCTGTTGTTCAAGACTGAATTGCTCCTCATAGCTCTGACTGTCCTGGAACTGGCTCTGTAGACCAGGCCCAGCTCAAATTCACAGGTACTCCTTTGCCCCTATCTCCCAAGTGCTGGGATTAAGGGAGTGTGCCACCATTGCCAGCTTTACTATTATAGTCTTAATGGAGGTTCAGATTATGTTTTTAATTGAGAAGTAACGTTGTCATGCTTTCAAATGTGTAACTAATTTTGACTTGATTAAACTGAGATTTAACAGTACAAGATAGTAAATGTAAGTGTAGTTTTTAGTTACTTTTTATAGAAAAGAAAAACTATATTTTTTTTGCTCAGCTATATGGTAACTCTGTGGTGGAATGCTTCAGGCTCCTTCAGAGAACTTAAATTGGAATTGTACACACATATACAAAACAAAATGTGTGGTTTTCTAACTAGAATAGTGGAATAATACAAAGTCACTGTGTGATTATTATTTTGCCTTTAAAGTGTTATTGTTTAATGTAAGCAAATAATCAGTAATTTTTAATGTCATATTTAACAAACTCCCTTTAAGAAATGATTATAGGCGCTGAAGAGATGGCTCAGAGGTTAAGAGCACTGATTGCTCTTCCAGAGGTCCTGAGTTCAATTCCAGAAACCACATGATGGCTCACAACCTTCCATAATGAGATCTGGTGCCCTCTTCTGGCCTGCAAGGATACATGCAAACATGTATTTTTTATATATATATATATGATTGTAAAGTCTAATTGTATAGGCCTTTCCTCAGATTTATCTATAACTGCTATTAATGAAAACTGGAAAAGAGGGAAATGTATTATTTACTGCCTATGTAACCTTATAACTTTAATTTTAAGCAAGATGCAGTGGTAACATGCCTTTTATCCCAGTACTTGGAAGACTGAAACAGGAATGTATCAAGTTTGAGACCAGCCTAAACCACATAGTTAAACTCTAATCCCAAATCTCCTTAAAAAAATAATTGATCTGAATAGAAATTTCCAAAACTTCAATGTGCCTGCTTATTTGTTTATTATTCAGCACATAATTTGTAATAGTATTACTGCCAGTTTTAATCTGTTAGAGTTGGTACATTCAAATTGCTCTAAAATTAAAATGTTTCTTTTAATGAAACTTAAAATTATCCATTCAAATATTTAAAGCTTCATTAATACTTTAATATTTTCTAGTTTGTAAAAATTATAAAAGTAATCCAGGCATTGGTGGTACACGCCTTTAATCCCAGCACTCAGGAGAAAGAGGCAGGTGGATCTCTGTGAGTTCAAGGCCAGCCTAGTCTACAGAGCAAGTTCCAGGACAGGCTCCAAAACAATACAGAGAAACCCTGTCTTGATAAACTGAAAAAAAATTATAAAAGTAGCCAGGCAGTGGTGTACCATAATTACACATCATAGTGAATATTTTGTATTGTGGAAAGGCAGGTATTGCCCATCAAAGTGTATCAAAGTGTGCACCTTAGTCTGGGGCTGAACCTCACTTGGTAGAGTGTTTGTCTGGCATGCCTGAGGCCCTGCACTTGATCAGTAACACAAAGAGGGGGATAAAAGAACAGAAAGTGTGACTCCTAAATGAAAAAGAAACATCTTCATTGCCTTAATTTTTTTCTTTGTGTCTTATGCTTTATTTTTCTAACCAGGATATAAATCCATGGGATAAGAAAAGATGGCATCTAAAATAAATACCAGTTTCACTTTGATACCCAACCAGAAATGTAAACGTACTAACCATCAATCCAGCTATTTTTGCAACACCCTTGATTCAGATCCTCAACTCTTATCTACGCTTGGAAACTTTAAAGTCTTACCATTGGAAATATTCCACATAATTTTAAGATATTTGTCAGGTGAGGTTTGGGGGCTAGAAGTATGTTACAAAGATAATAGAATATTATACTTTCCCCACGTATTAGTTTGTCCTCTTTATTTCAGTTATATAACTATCATTCAGGATTGTTGATAACATTCATATTGAGTTTATTTTCTAAGACTCTACCAACCACTTCTCTTTTAGCTAAAATTAAAAGTAAAGTTCAATTATTGCTCCCTCTTCTCTGTTTCTGTCCTCTCTGTGTCTCTTTTTTTTTCAACAGGAAAGTTTATTTAGGAGACTGCAGGAAGCAGCCGGCTTGGCAGTACCATGAGGACTGCCCACAATAATGTTCAAATTTTGTAAAGACATTGTAGGCAGGACACCTGTAGTTTCAGCACCAAGGATGCTAAGGCAAGATACCAGGCTAACCTGGGCTACATAACAAGATCCTGTCAAAAAACAAAAGCCTTGCTGGGCATGGTGGTAACATGCCTTAAATCCCAGCACTTGGAAGGCAGAAGCAGGAATATCTCTTTGAGTGCCAGGCCACTAGGTCTACATAGCAAGCTTCAGAACAGACAAAACTGGGTAGAATGATCCAGCCTCAAAAACAAAACAAAACAAAAAACCCATCAGGTAATGGCACACACCTTTAAATGAAGCACTTAAAGGCAGAGGCAGGCCTGGTCTACAGGGAAAGTTTTAGGATAGCCAGGGCCATACAGAGAGAGACCCTGCTTCAAGAAAAAACATTAAAAAAAAAAAAAAAAAAAACTACTACCACCTCTGTTATCTCAATAGTAATAATATAGTAGCTTATTATTTTCCACCATGCTTCTATTGATAACTAGATTTAAGACAATATTAAGATTTTTTTTGAGTGCTAGGTTTGTTTATTGTTTTTGTATTTTTGATGCTTTCACTCATAGCCCAGGCTATCGTGGAACTTACTGAACAGCTCGGGGCTGACTTCAAACATCTGGCAATTTGCCTCCCTCAGCCTCCCAAGTGCTGAAATTACAGCTGTGAGCCAACACAACTGGCACTAGGTTTATGATTAATGAGTTGATTTGTAAGTTAATAAACTATACTAATGGTGATGCTTTTGTATTTAAGCCATTTGTATTATCAGTGAGTTAACATAAGTTAATAGAGTACACTAACAGTGATTTAAATAATTTGTACTCATATGTTATATATTTATTTCTTTTTTTTGGTTTTGTTTTAAATGTATTTATTTTTTTCATAGTGAAGGATATTGGCATGTTAAGCATGGTGTCCAAAACAGTCAGCCAGCACATAATTAATTATATCTCAACCTCATCTGGAAGTAGAAGACTTTTAATACAGAATTTTCATGACCTTGATCTGTCTGGCACAAAAGAAGAGAGTTGCCTACTGGAGTACTACAGAGCTCTAGGTAATTTGTGAAACGCAAACTGCAACAAAAAAGTACTTATAACATATTTTGTTATATAATTCTGTAAAGGTAATGATTGGAGAATATTTCCTGGAAATTTTCCTTTTTTTATAGCATTTTTATTTTCATTGTAGAGACCTTAACAGTAGTCCTGTATAAAGATGAAAAGTGAATACAGTGGCTAACACTTGTAATCCTCACATTGGAAAACCAAAACCAGAGGATCATAGTGTGAGCCCAGCCTGTACCTCATACTGAATCCCTGAGTTCTAGGTCAGCCTGAACAAAGGTGTGAGACTCTACATCAGAAAACCTTCATAAGATGGAGAATGTTGCTCAGTTAGTTGAGCGCTTGACCAGCATTCATAAATTCCTGAGTTTCATCCTTAGCACCAAATAAACTGGGTGTTTTGGGCACTTGCCTATAATTCCAGTACTCAGAAGAGGGAGCAAAAGCCAGGTAGTGGTTGGTGGTGCATGCTTTTAATCCCAGCACTCAGAAGCCAGGGGAAGGTGGATGGGTCTCTGTGAGTTCGAGGCAGCCTGGTGTACAGACAGAACTGTACACAGAGAAACCTAGTCTCAAAAAAACCACCAAAAAAAAGGGGGGGGGGAGGGAGGGCAGGAGGGGAAAATAGAAGAAAGAAATAATCTTTCATATAAGTGCCTGTCCTTGTAATTTTGCATAGATATAGTATAACCTATGCAGTTGTGTAGCTGAAATACCTCCTTAGGGAATTGATGTGTTTTCCATGTGTTTTGCCTCTGTTGCTTGTGACTTAGAGTTTTTTGTTTGCTTGGTTGGTTGGCTGGTTTTTTGAGACATGGTTCTCTATGTAGCAGCCCTGGCTATCCTGGAACTCATTCTGTAGATCAGGGTGGCCTGGAACTAACAGATCTACTTGTCTCTGCCTCTTAAGTACTGGGATTAAAGGTGTGCACCACCACACCCAGCTAAATTTTATTCTGTCTTTATATTCACTGTCAGCCATAATCTAGTCCTTAAAGTATAAAAGTGGTGGTGCCTGACTTTGATCCCAGCACTTGGGAGGCAGAGGCAGGTGGTTCTCTGAGTTTGAGGCCAGCCTGGTCTACAGAGTGAGTTCCAGGACAGCCAGGGTTACACAGAAAATCCTATCTTAAAAACAAAACAAAACAAAAAATTATAAATTTAGATACACTACTGGACGTTCTCTATTCTCTTATCAGAATTTGTGATTTTCTTTTTTAAATATTCCACATATTTACTAATAAGTCATTTAACTATAATTGACCTTATCAAAGGAAATACTACATCATTTTCCTCCCTTGATATGAAATAATTTGAATCTTTTACTTCATTCATTGCTTTCATTTTTCCTAGAATGCTGAAATAAAATTCTAATTTTAGTTTGACTAATGATAGCAATTTAACTATGAAACTAAAATATAATTAACTAAAACATGGCAATAAAAGAAAATATCAGGATGTTGTTGGGATTAAAATAAAGATATGATAGTCAGTTGAGTGAATCTTGCCTTTTAGAAACACAAGAATACATAGTTCTAAAAAAGTAATATATAAATTCTTCAATAGTGGCTTGTGGTATAGGCCTATAATAACAGCTAACTGGGAGGCTAGTGCAAGAGGATTGTGAATTCAAGGTCTGTTTGTACTATAGAGTTCAAAGCCAATCTGAGCAATTTAGAAAAACTCAGTGGCAGAGCATGCCTTAGCATGCATGAGATGAGAACCTAAATTCAGTCTCCAACAGCACACACACACATACACACACACACACAAAGAAAGAAGGAAAGAAAATAGTAAAATAGTATGGGGCTGGAGAGAGAAATGGCTCAGAGGTTAAGAGCACTGGCTGTTCTTCTGGGGGACCTGGGTTCAGTGTCCAGCACCCACATGGCAGTTCACAACTGTAACTCCAGTTCCAGGGGATCTACCACCCTCTTCTGACTGCCAGGGCTACCTGAGATGGTATCAAACAAATAAATAAACAAGGCCCTAGGTTCCATCTTCAGCACCACATTAAAAAAACAAACAAGCAACAAAACAAAACAAAGCGGGTGCTGGGCCTTGGTGGTGTACGCCTTTAGTCCCAGCACTTGGGAGGCAGAGGCAGGTGGATCTCTGTGAGTTGGAGGCCAGCCTGGTCTACAGAGCTAGTTCCAGGACAGGATCCAAAGCAATACAGAGAAACTCTGTTTCAAAAAAAAAAAAAAAAAAAAAAAAAAACCAAAAAATAAAAAAACTGTAATTATATGGGTAATTCAATAATTAAAAAATATAAGCATTGATCTTAACACCTAATCTCCAAAACAGGTTTGATTAATATATTAGCTTTAATTTCCCGTTCAGTTTTTTTTTTTTTTAGATACCTGCTTTATGATTGGTTCTTTTGGTAAGTGTTTGACATATTCAGCATTTTCCCATGTTTTCTTTCCTATCTGATCTGTTCCTGTTTTTAGATACTAAAATAACATTTTTCAGAATCTTAACTTGGGAGATTATAAATTTAATTTGCATTCTCTCCTGAACAGAGCAGATGGCCAATGTAAAAAGAATACTGCATCTGACATTATTTTACTGGGAGAACATAAAAGAAATTGGTCTCTGAAAAAGAGTACCTGTGTTTAGAAAAAAAGTCAGCTAAATACAAGGGTTTTATGGTAAACTGCAACCCTTAAAAATAGGAGATTTGCAGTAGAAAAGGCAACCAGTATGCAATTATAGCTTACAGCCTCAGCTATGATATAACATGAGACACAATGCCAAAACATGAAAGGAAAAGAACTCAGACTAAAGCCAAACACTGAAAATAACTGTCTATAAGCAAAAATAAGGAGGGATTATGTTTAAAATTCAATTCCGGTCCTGTGTTATCCAAACATAGGGACTTCTAAAAATAAACTTGATTTCTATAGATCTTCTGGATTATATAACCATTTCATTATATAAAGAGTAAATGTAGAGAAATGATGATTATATTATATAAAGAGTAAAAACTGGAGAAGGTGGTGATATTCAAATGTATCTTTCCCTACCACACATATCATTTTTAGAGAATGCCGTTTGTCCTTACAGGAATGCTAACAGTGTAATGCCATTTTAGGGAAACAGAATACTTAGGGGAAATAAATCATACACTTATTGTCATTATATTTCAAATATTGTCTTACTAAAAAATTGGAAGGATTTCTCTTTTTTTCAGTGTCATGACATAGACTCCTACACATTATTAACATACAAACCTTGTAAAATATCTTAGAGAGGAGAGATAGTTCAGTGGCTAGGAGTACTTGCTTTCCTTGCAGAGGACTGGGGTTAGGTTCCCAGAACCCACATGGTGGTTCAGAACTGTCTGTAACTCTGGTTTCAAAGTGATTCAGTGCTCTGAGCACATAACACATGCAGGTGAAGCACTCATACACATACAAATTAAGTAAAGCCAAGTGTGGTGGTGCATACCTTTAATCCCAGTACTGGGCTGCAAAGGCAGGCAAATCTCTATGAGTTCAAGTCTAACCTACTCTACATAGTAGTTCCAGGACAGGTAAGGTTATAGAGAAACTCTGTTTCAAGAAAAAAGTATAAGTCTTTGGAGAAAGATAGGTATCTAATCCAATCTGTATAATTTATGTGAGCAAACTTGACTTCTAACCCCTGAAATTTTAAATACTTAATGACATTTAAAAAATAATCTTTGCTGTTGTGCAATATTACTTTAACTCTGTAAAGATGTGTTACATTTGTTTATGTTGTGGGATGTTACTTTAACTATGTAAAGGTGTGTTACATTTGTTTATGCTGTATTTGTTTAACTATGTAAAGATATGTTACTGTTTTACCTTGCCTACCTAAGGCACCTGACTGGTGTAATAAAAAGCAGAATGGCCAATGGATAAGCGGTAAAGGGATAGGCGGGCATGGCAGGCATGGAGAATAAGTAGGAAGAAGAATCTAGGGGAGAAAGAGAACACAAAAGAAGAAAAAGAGGGAGGTGCCCATGGACAGGCAGGCCACTGCCAGCCAGACAGACAGACATGGAAGAAGCAGGAAAATAGGGCACACAGAATGAAAGAAAGGTAAAAAGCCCTGAGGCAAAATACAGATGAAGAGAAACAGGTTAAAATAAGTTATTAGAGCTAGTGGGAGGCCAAGTGGTGGTGGTGCACGTCTCCAATCCCAGCACTCAGGAGGCGGAGGCAGGTGGATCTCTGTGAATTTGAGGCCAGCCTGGTATCCAAAGAGAGTTCCAGGACATGCTCTCAAATCTACAGAGAAACCCTGTCTCTCAAACCTACAGAGAAACCCTGTCTCTAAAACCTACAGAGAAACCCTGTCTCTAAAACCTACAGAGAAACCCTGTCTCTAAAACCTACCGAGAAAGCCTGTCTCTCAAACCTACAGAGAAAGCCTGCCTTGAACAAAAAACACACAAACAAAAGAGCTAGTGGGACAAGCATAAGATAAGACCAAGCATTCATAACTAATAAGTCTCCATGTCATGATTTGGGGCTGGCGGTCTGAAACAGCCTGCTACACTATGCTGTTGATAAGTTTAATTAATTTCATTGTTGTCATTTTTTTTATTATGTCCCTTTTCTTTCTCAGGTCTACTATTTAAAAGATGTACCTTGCTGCTTCCCACCAAGGACAGACTAAAGTACATTCACAAGATCCTCTCAGAAGTAAGATCGTATACCAGAATTAGTTCACGTTCTTGATTTCCAGGAAAGATAACTTATCACTAATGTAATATATTCTTTATACGCCTTTCTTTTAAAATTTCTGTATGTATGAATGTTATACATCATGTGTTGCCTAGAAGCCAAAATAAGGTATCATATCCCCTGAAACTGGATCTACAGGCAATTGTGAGTCACCGTGTCGATGCTGGGAGTCAAACCTGGATCCTCTGCAAGAAAAGCAAGAGCTCTTAACTGAGTCATCTCTCCAGCCCCAAACCTATCTTTTAAAAGCAGGATTTATTTTTTAACTATATGTATGTGTGTTTTTCTATTTATGAGTGCCCACAGAAGCCAAAAACAAATGTCAGGTTTATAAATTAAAGTTTATCATGGTTACATACACCTAGGAAACACATATGGAGAGATGGCTCAGTTGTTAAGAGTGCATACTACTCTTGCAGAGGACTCAACTTTGGTTCCCAGTACCTTAGTGGGGTAATTCACAATCTTCCGTAATTCCACCTGCAAGTGATAAAACACCTTTGGCCTCTGCAGGAACAGGAACATACCTACACATACAGATAATTAAAAATAAAACTGTGCAGTGATGGCTCACGCCTTTCATTCCAGTATTTAGGCAGGCAGATATCTGAGTTCAAGACCAGTCTGGTCTACAGAGCAAGTTCCAAGACAGCCAGGACTACACAAAGAATCTCTTTCTCAAAAAAACAAAATAAATCACAATATATTTTATACTGTACAAAAGTAATAGGGCAGTTAGTGGTCATATTGTAATATTCATTTTATTTATTTTTGTTAGTGGCAGGGTATGTATATCATGGTGCACACCTCCTCCTCCTTCTGTTTGTTTTTTGAGACAGGCTTTCTCTGTGTAGCAGCTCTAGCTGTCCTAGAACTTGCTTTGTAGACCAGGCTGACCTCAAATTCAGAGATCCTCCTGCCTCTGCCTGCCAAGTCCTGGGATTTAAGGCGTGTACCACCACCGCCCAGTTGGCAATATTCTTCACATGGGCTTTAGAATTGAATTCTGTCCTCATGTTTATGAGACAAGCACTTTACCTGCTGAGCCCTCTGTCTCACAGCCTCCAAAGCTGTTTAAAGTGAGGCCTTAGAGACTGGTGGTGGTGGTGCACCCTGGAGTCAGGTGGCTCTCTGTGAGTGTGTTTGAAGTTTTTATGCACATGAATATTTGAGCGCATATATGAGCGCATATGTGCACATGCCTGGTGAGTGAAGAAGTCAGAAGGCATAGATTCGCCTAGAACTGGAGCTTATGGATGGTTGAATCACTATGTGGGTTCTGGGTTCTGAATAACAGGTCCTCTACAAGAGTAGCCAGTGCTCTAATTTGGTGAGCCATCCCTTCAGTCTCTCCACTTTTTGTTTTTTCGGGGATTTTTGGTTTTGTTTTGGGAGGGGAACTTTTTTGTTTCTGTTTTGGGTTTTTGATTTCTGAGACAAGGTCTTAATACATAGCCTTGGGGAGCTTGGAACTCTCAATGTAGACCAGGCTAGCCTCAAACTCATGGAGGTCAGACTGCCTCTGCATCCTGAATACTGGGATTAAAGGTGTGGCTCCAATTTGTGTTTTGGACACATCTCTTACTGAACCTGGAGCTCCAACTTGCTGTTTCAGCTAGTCTGGCAGACCTGAAACCCCTGGAGATCCACCTGTCCCTCTCCAAACTCATCCCCAGCACTTGGGTCACAGGCTCACATTACCACACTCAGCTGTTTTTACATGGATGTTGGGGATTCTTCCTGCCTCTGCCTCACAAAAGCCAGGATCAAGGTTGTGCCCACCATGCCTAACACTAATTTTTATTAACAATTTTTAATACTAAAATATATTCATGTCATTTGCCCCTTTTTCATCCCTCATATATACCCTTTCTTTACCTCATGCCTTCTTTTTCTTTTATTGTACACGCACGCACACACATATACACACACACACAAAACAAGCACACTCGTAAATATATAAATACAGCCTGTTCAGTCCATATACTGTTATTTGTATGCAAATTACTTCAAGGCTGACCACTTCTTGTTGGGTGATCATAATAGTCTTCCCTGGGGAAGATGATTTCTCCTGTTCTCAGCATTCCTTAATTGCATTTTTTTTCTTTTTTTGTCTAGATTTGGGTCCCCAAGAGATTTCTCCCTTTCATGTCAGCGTATCTATTAGTCTTTTCCTTGTTCAGGTTATTTAGGCAGCCATGCTGATGAGACTTAATTCATGTAGCTTCCCTGATACTTCTAGGAAACACGTTCTCACAGCAGACTTCCTATTCCCCTCACAGTCTTTCCATCCCTTCTCCCTAGATGATCTCTGAGCCTTTGGTAGAGAGTTGTGTTGGAGATGTATCAGTTGGGACTGGGCATCACTTGTTCCTCTGCATTTTGATCTGTTATCTGTTAAAGTTTTCTGTAATGGTCTCTATTGCAAAGCTGCTTTCTTTCTTTCTTTCTTTCTTTCTTTTTTTTTTTTTTTTTATGACAGGGTTTCTCTGTATTGTTTTCGAGGTTGTCCTGGCACTCACTCTGTAGACCAGGCTGGCCTCGAACTCACAGAGATCCACCTGCCTCTGCCTCCTGAGTGCTGGGACTAAAGGCATGCATCACCAACGCCCAGCTCAAAGCTTCTTTCTTTAATGAAAACTAGACCCTGTCTCAAGATGTCTCCAGTAGTCAGGTTTGGTAGTGCACACCTTTAATCTGAGCAGAGGGAGGTAGAGGCAGGTGGATCTTTGAGTTCCAGGCCAGCCCTGTCTCAAAAAACAAAACAAACAAAGCAACAACAACAAAAATAAGATATCTCCAGTTATCCTGAGTGTCAAGCTATTGTATAGATCCACTAATAGTTGCTCTCTTTACAGGTTTCCTGTTTTAAATTCAGCAGCTGTTCTGCTCCTTTGCAATGTTTAGGATTACCATGTTATGGCATGTTTTTACAGGTACATTGTTTAATGAAAGAATGATTTTTAACTGTTAACAAGTAGAGTATAGAATCTCTGTGTACATTAAAAGAAGCTCTAGTAATCTTTTGTTTTGTTTTTGTTTGTTTGTTTTTTGAGGCAGGGTGTCTCTGTATTGCTTTGGAGACTGCCTGGAACTCGCTGTGTAGACCAGGCTGGCCTAAAACTCACAGAAATCAGCCTGCCTCTGCCTCCCAAGTGCTGGGACTAAAGGCAAGCACCACCAATGCCTGGCTAGCTCTAGTAATCTTAAAGCAAAATAACGTAAAAATTTGTTAAGAGTATGTTTGGTTTTCTAATTGGTGAGAAATGCTTAACATTTATTTACTCTATATGTACTTACATTATTTATTTATTTATTTATTTCTTGTGACCTGGGAATTGAATCTAGGTCCTTAGGCATACTAGGTAAGCAACCTATCTCTGAGCTGCAACCCAAGCTCCTAGCCAACTTAAGAGACTAAAGGTGGTATGTGTGTCTTTATTTTCATTTTTTGAGTGAGAGTCTTACTATGTAGCCCTGGCTGTCTTGGAACTCATTATGTAAACCAAGATGGCCTCAGACTCACAGAGATTTGTTGCCTCTGCCTCCCAAGTGCTTTAGAAATCAATTTATTATTTCAAGAATATTTACTACTCTCTTATAAACAGATAAAAATGAAAAGTGTCATTTATTAAGCCTTATACCATGTGCCAGACACTGTTCTAAACAGCCTTCATGAATTATCTGATTGACAACTTATAGCCATCTTAGGCTCTTAACTCATCTCTCAGACTTGCACAAAGAATCTTTTGCTGTATCCCAGGCTGCCAGCTACAGGCTCCTACACACCCAGATTCTAGGACTTCCTACTAACACTCTTTCAAAACAGACTTTTTACTTTTTTTCATTTATTTTATACTTTCTGTCTTTGGATTAAGTATTAAGATATGCATTCATGTAAAATTCAAAAGGGACAAAATGTATGAAGTAAAAAGTCTCCCTCCCAGGCCTGTCTCCCATGTACTGATTTCCTCTTACCAGAAATAATCACTGCTTAGCAATTTCTCTCATTTTAGAAGCAATAAATTTAAATTGTGGGGTGCTGGGATTGAAGATTATTTTTTTAAAATATGCGTATGTCTGGAGAGATGCTCAACAGTTGTGGGCACTGGCTGCTCTTCCAGAGGACCAGGAGTCAATTCCCAGCATATATATGGTAGCTCACAACCATCCAATCTCCAGTTGTAGAAGGTCCTACAGCCCTCTTCTGACCTTCTTGGGGATCAGGCACACACATGGTACACACACACACACACACACACACACACACACACACACACACACACACGGTAGACAGGCCAGCCTGGTCTACCTAATGATTTCTAGGCCAGTCAAGGTTACATAGTGAGACCTTGTCTCAAATATAAATGAATAAAGTACATGATTAATGAATTTATATAATTGTATGCTACTTAAATCTCCTTTTTATATGTTTGTACATTTTTATATTTCAAGATAGTTATTAACTTTTGCCTTTTTTTCACTTATTAAAAAACAAGCAAGTTATAATCAATTATCACATTAAAATGAGATCATCATCAGCCAGGCAGTGGTGGTACACACCTTTAATCCCAGCACTCAAGAGGCAGAGGCAGGCAGATCTCAGTGAGTTTGCAAGTTCCAGGACAGCCAGGACTGTTACACCGAGAAACCCTGTCTCGGAAAAATAAGAGAGAGAGAGAGAGAGAGAGAGAGAGAGAGAGAGAGAGAGAGAGATCATTTGTAAATAATACCGAAATTACAGGTATAAAAGTCTTAGACAGGCTAATGTAAAGTCAAGCCATAGAGGCCTAAAGATGCCAGTAGGTAAGAATACTGGATGTGTAAGTGTGAAGACCTAAGTTCAAATGCCTAGCACCTGAGTAAAAAGCTTCCATTGCCATGGTGACCTGTAATTCCATCCATAGGGCTTACTGGCTTCTACCATAGCCAAAAACTATAAGTTCTAAGTTTGGTGAAAGCATGTAGGAGCATGTAGAGGAGGACACCTGACATCCCTGTGTATGTGGCCTCTGTGGTCACATACACTCTCACGCACATACATACACAAAAATAAATTAATAGTTGATTTAGTTTAGTTTGATTTGATTTGATTTAAGTTTAAAAACTGAGTCACAAAGCCAGGACTAGAATCCCATTACTCAGACTTGCTGCAGGCAGATCTATGGTTTGAGGCCACTCATTGGACAGTAGTGAAAGAGATCCAAACTGAGAAGTCTATATATAGAACACCAAAGTTTGGTCCTAGCACCATATCAGGGCAGCTCACAATTGCCTGTAACCCCAACTCGTCTAGCTTCTACAAGTACCTTCAACATGTGGCTTAACCTAAAACTTAAAATAAATTTATAAAAACTTAAAATTTTTCTGGGTGTTGATTGGCATACAAACTTGGGAGAGGTGGGCAGATATCTGATTTCCAGGTCATCCTGGGCTACATAATGAGTTCTAGGACATCCAGGGCTACACAGAGAGACCCTGTCTTGAAAAAATAAAAAAAATAAATAAATAAAAACTTCCTTCCTAACCAAAAAGAAGCAATATAGATTTTGGAGAATTTCTAGGTTGTAAATATATAAATGTCTTGTGAATTGAAAGTAAAAATTGCCCATCACCTACATCATATACTATAAACAGCCTATTTTCATTAGGAAGTAGAGGCTTACCCTTCCTATGTGTATCTGAACTTATGCAATGTTTCTTTGTTTTCCTTAGACTTTAACAGCAGGTTGGGATGAACTCGAATGCCACCGTGTTTATAACTTCTTATGTGAATTGACTAATCTCTCCCGTAAGATGCAGACTGTTGTCTGTAACAAACCAGGTAAAGACCTTCAGTTCAAAGATAGTATTGTATAGATATGAGATGTTAAGAAGAGGTAAAGTTCAAATGTATATGTCAATGAAGCTCTGTGAGTTTGAGGCCAGGCTAGTCTATATACTGAGTTTCAGGATAGCCAGGGATACAGAGAGAGAATCTGTCTCAAAAATTATCAGACTTATTGTCCACTATTTCAGTTTGACTTGGGCATATTGTTCTTCCTACCCATTATCCATTACCGAAGCTAAATAAGGAAAGTAAGCAAATAAGATAGTCAAACTGTAAAGTTAGGGCATCTTTTCCTTCTTAGTTACTTCCTGTTTATATATTCAGTTCATTGCTCTTTTAAGTGCAGCTGTTAATACCTGGCTCTGATCACTATCCAGTATGCAACTTAACCTTTCTAGGAAAATGATTTACAACTTTTTCTTCATAGGAAGTGCCCGAAAACTAGAGTTAAGGATTAGACTGTTCTGTAGGAATGTCCTACTTGATCACTGGACACAACGAAGTGATTCTGCATTTTGGTTGACTAGAATATTAAAACCATGGCCAATGGTAAATCAGGCAAGATTGCTCTATATTATCTTTGGACCAACATCTCCTCAAGATGGTAAGCACCAGTTTTTTTTTTGTTTTGTTTTGTTTTGTTTTTTGGGTTTTTTTTTGTTTGTTTGTTTTTTGTTTTTTGGTGATATGTGTTATATACCTGGTTAATTACTTTTGCTTTAGGAAGGCTTTTTAAAAATATTTACTGGCTGATGCACACTTTTAATCCCAGCACTCAGGAGGTAGAGGCAGTAGGTTTCTGTGAGTTCAAGGCCAGGCTATTCTACATCTTTTTACCACTCTAGAGGCAGCGGGACCTGGAAGAATAGAGCCTAAAAATGAGGCAGACTAAAGTCTCAGGCAATATCCAACTTTACTCAGAGCATCAGACAGTATAACTCTGAGGGTTAAGAAAAGGCATATGAATCAAGTGTTCAGTCACAAGGGCAAGCCACACAGCAAAAACATGTTTTTCCATAGAGGCATATAAACAAATAACAATTGCCAATTGTAATGAATAATCTAAAATAAACCCACTCCTGTCATCTATACCCGGGAAGAGCATGAAAACATATTTCAAGAACAATTTCATGGTTTTGAAGAAACTGAGATACTTGCTTGTTTTCTTGGAGTTTTCTCACAAGCACTCAGAATTCTCCTCACATGACTCCATTCTTGAACCATATTCCAATAGATAGAGTTCCATACCAGCCAGAGATACATAGTAAGTGTCTTAGTTAGGGCTCTATTGCTATGAAGAGACACTATGACCACGGCATTTAATTTGGGCTCACTTATAGTTTCAGAGGTTTAGACCATTATCATCATGGTAGGTGGCATGCAGGCAGGCACAGTACTGGAGAAGGAGCTAAGAATCCTACATCTTGATCCTCAGGCAGAGGAAGTGAACTGTGTCCCACACAGGCACAGCTTCAGTATATAAGACTTTAAAGCCTGCCCCCACAGTGACACACTTCCTCCAACAAGGCCACACCTCTTAATAGTGCCACTCCCTATGGGCATTCAAGCATGAATCTCTGGAGGTCATACCTATTGGCTGAACAATAAGACTCTGTCTCAGCCAGGTGTTTCAAGACAAAAACTGTTTAGCTCTGAGTCAGTTTTTTTTTTTTTTTTTTTTAGGGGGGGGTTTGTTTGTTTTTTGTTTTTTGAGACAGAGTTTCTCCGTAGTCTTGGCTATCCTGTAATTTGTTCTAAAGACCAGACTGGTCTCAAACTCACAGATTTGCCTGCCTCTGCTTCCCAAGTGCTGGGATTAAAGGCAAGGGCCATCACCCCCAACTCCTGTCATTTCTTATTCCTCTAAAAGTGCTGCTTTTGCATCTTAAACATTAATATAACTCAAGGTTATGTTTCCAGATGGAGGGGACTAGACTAATGCTAAGCAACAAAACAGCAACCCAAATGACTATTTAGTTTTAGGTTTTCAGATGCATAATCTGACTTTTGAAAAACTTTTTTTTTGCCTAGATGTATTTAGATTAATGTTAAAATTATCTTAAATTTCCTTATTCTACTTTTATCAGTAGATAACCAGTTTTAACTCAAATTGGCTAGCAGCCAGGACTTCTATTTTGATATTAAAATGTTGTTGTGTATAAGCCACAAAGATTGGGGATAGATAACAAATAGAAAGTGACTAAGCTGCTCTGTTGTGATACAAATTTTTGAAAGATGCTAATGGAAGCAAGCTTCTTTATAGAAGATCTAATCGATTTTACTTGACTTTAATAAAATTATAGCAATTTATATTCCAGTCTGTATTACAGGGTAGTATCATCTTTGAATTAAAAGCACTATTCTTTGAGACGGGGAGATAGTTCAGTAGGTGCTTGCTGTGCAAACACGAAGAGTTGACTTTGATCCCCAGTATCCATGTGAAAGCTGGGTGTGGTGGTTTGTGCTTGTAATCCCAGCACTGAGGATGCATCAATGGGCATTTCCCTAGTGCTCCCAGCCATCTTAGCCTGATAAGCAAGCCCCAGATCCCAATTGAAAGACTCTGTCTCAACGATTGGTGGTACACACCTTTAATCCCAGCACTTGGTAGGCAGAGGCAAGCAGATCTCTGAGTTTGAGGCCAGCCTTGTCTACAGAACGAGTTCCAGGACAGATAGGGCTGTTACACAGAGAAACCCTGTCTTGAAAAGAAAAAAGAAAAAGACTCTGTCTCAAAAATAAAACTAAAATAAAAAAGTGCATGATTCCTAAGGAGTGACACCCTGGCCTCCACATGCATGCACACTCACACTTGAAAAAGATAAAACAAATAATAAATAGATAAAAGCACTGTCCTTTTTTTATGAAACAGAGTTGGAGCTTAATAAAGATTGTTAATATAAAGGGCTGGAGAGATGGTTCAGTGATTAAGAACACTGGCTGCTCTTCCAGAAGACCTAGGTTTGGTTCCCAGCACCCACATGGCAGCTCACAACCCTCTGTAACTTCCATCCCATGAGATCCAACATCCTCTTCTGACTTCTGCTGATGCCGGCATGCACATGTTACATAGATATACATAGGCAATCATTCATACTCATACAGTAATATAAAACAAAACCTCTATAAGCCCCAGTAACAAAAAATTAAGTGAAGAATATATGTTAATATAGGCTTAAGCAGAGACTTAAGAGAACTCTTTCTCAGAAGGAAGTAACATGACAACATGGGTGTGGGCTTTACAAAGAATTGTTGAAAGGAACACCGACCATGGGTACAAGCTCCTCAGGGAGAGTCACAAAAGCAACTCCTTCATGTTCAAACTCCTTTAGTTACTTGGTTTAGATATTGTTGCTGTGTTCCATCATAGTCAATGAGAAACTCAGATTTATAATGATACCAATTTTGACATTTTAATGATGAATGTAGCTTATATAAGTAATGGGATTGTGTAATCCTTTTCATTCTAACAAATCCTTGAAGAAACTATCTATTCTGTCATAGCCTACTTTTTGCTTCAATCCAGGGCAGGTAATTTGGCAGGAAATGGTGGAAGGACCCACAGATGAATCTAGTCTGAAAGGTTTGGCTAATGCCATTAAGTTACTGTATGACACAGGTACCAAAGAGTGGACAGCAGATGATGTTATCAGCCTTGTAGATGAACTATCAGGTAAAATACATATTTACTAATATGGAATAATAGAAATGTATTATTAGAATACAACTATAAAGTTATTATAGACAATTCTCTAGGTAACAATTAAAGAGTGTATTAGAAATCACTAATTGATCAATATGTAGTTTTAAGTATATTTTGTTACTTACTGCTCCAAAACATTTTAGTTTTGTGTTTTGTTTGTGTGTGTGTTTACATGTAGAATATGTAAATGCATGTGGTGTAAGAATATGTTTATCTCAATTTCCAATGTTTTAAATTAAATTTGTTCTTTGGCAATTTCATGCATTTATATAATGTATTCTGATTACTCTTTCTCTTCACTCTCTCTTAACTCCAACTCTCATAAACTCCCCTTCTCATCCCTGTAAGACTTTCTCTCTGTCATATCTTTTTGTTTTGTCTTGTGACCCACTAAGCTTAACCATGGCTGTCCACATGACCATAGGTGTGTACCCCTTGGAGCCCGAGGGACTCACCAGTGGGTACACAACTGAAAACAATGGCCCCCACTTCTGAAGCATCCATCAATAGCCATTGGGTTCCCACTTTTATAAATATGTAACATTATTAGGTCACACATAGTTTAATGAGTTTGCTTACTCTCATTTTACAAGTTCTCAAACATGCATACCCTTCTAGATTATATAAAAAGAAAGGCCTCTGCTGCACGGGAGGGGGATTAAACAGTTGCTCTGAAGTTTACAAGGGCTTTATCCTTACATATGATGTCACTTTACCTGCTGAAGGATGTGTAGAAGAACTGCTTTGACTAAGCTATCAGCACAGTGGTAATGCACAATGACAAGGGGGTGACCCTGTCTCTGGTTGAATACTGTAATTGAAAAACTAAAATATTCCAGACACAGTGGCACAAAACTTTAATCCAACACTCATGAGGCAGAGGCACACTGGCTTGGTCTATAGAGTGAGTTCCAGGACAGCCAGGAATACACAGAGAAACCCTGTTCAAAAAGAAAAGAAAGAACAACCTAAAACATTATGAGTATTTCCCTTGGCACTAATTACATTTCCAATAAAGTAATATAATATTGAATGTGTTTAAAGATGTTTACTACAGCAGTTGTGTAATTTCTCATTCAATCACTGTTCTTCCTCTAATAAAAGTGGTTCCCAGGGAGTGGCTTCTGGAAAATAATGCACGCCTCCTAATCCTAAGTGGGAACAACATCTGCTTCACTTTCATGGCTAGTAAAGCTGTGAACGGACGGGCCATTGAGCTAGCAAGACTCATAGTCTTTTTGGCTTTGGTAAGTAAAAACTAAGTTTTTCTCTCTCAAGTTATTTAGCATTCATTTGATTGAGCAATAGAGCTGCTTCCCCGGTGCTTACAATGCCCCAAATCAGACTTGGTCAGTTGGTCATTCTCTCTCTCTCTCTCTCTCTCTCTCTCTCTCTCTCTCTCTCTCACTCTCACACACACACACACACACACACACACACACACACACACAGCCTATCAGAAACTGAGGTTTACAGAAGATATTATATATAAAAATAAGTATTAAAATACATATTTTATTTATTTGTTTTTGGTTTCTGAGTCATATATAGCCCAGGCTGGCCCCAAACTCATTATGTAGGCAAAGGTGACCTTGAATTTGAGTGTTGGGATTACAAGAATGTGCCATCACACTCCATTTTATTCATTTACTGAGCATTTCCCATTTGCAGACTCAATGGGGATATCTTATGCAATAAACTATGCTACATCATAAACCTGCCCTATGTAATAAACTGCTAAATCATAAGCTGTCATTGTCATTGCCACTTTAAGCTTTATAGCTTGCTTCACATGAAGACTGATAGTAGTGTTTTGTGTATCTGAATTAGGTGTGTGAGAAAGAGCTGTACTGCATGGACTGGACAGTTAGAATGATGCAAAAAGTCTGCAAGGTCTTCAGCGCTGCAGCAGAGAGAAAGAGCTTCTTGCAGAGTGTGGCAAATGCCTTTGCCTGTGTCACCATGGAAATGCTGCAGCCTATTATGTCTGGTAAGTAAGAGTGTAGACAGTACATAGGATTGAGTGATAGTGCCTTCAGGTCTTAGCCTCAGACAACCAACTGGGCTTGGTGGTGCATACCTACAATCCCAGTACTTGAGGCTGAGCAGGGGATCTGAAGGGCTACACAGTGAAACCCTGTTCGGGAGTTTGGTATTTTGAAACAGTCTCTCTCTCTCTCTCTCTCTCTCTCTCTCTCTCTCTCTCCCTCTCTCTCTTTCCCTCTCCCTCCCTCTCTCCCTCCCTTCCTCCCTCCCTTCCCCCCCCTCTCTCTCTGTAGTTCTGTAGTCCTGGCTGACCTGGGATTTTCTATGTAGACCAGACTAGCCTTGAACTCACAGATAACCAATTGCTTCTGTCTTTCAAATGCTGAGACTAAGGGCATGTGCTACCACACTGGGCCTTATATAGGTTTTAACAAATACTAATTTAGTTTACAAAAGCTTTGTTTGGAACTCACAGAGATCCACCTGCTTCTGCCTCCCAGGTGCTGGTATTAAAGATGTTCACCACTACCACCATCTGGCTTTTGCTGTTATTTTATTTTGCCTGCATGTATGTCTATGCACCATGTGCATGCCTGATAACCTTGCAGAGGTCAGAAGAGGGTGTTGGATCCCTTGGAACTGGAGTTTCAGATGATTGTGAGCCACCATGTGGATGCTCAAAATCAAACTAGGGTCCTCTGCAAAAAGGCCCTGGCTGGTGATTTTAACCAATAAGCCATTTTTCCAGTTCCTAATTAGCCCTGTTTTATAGGTGAGAAAAAGTAAACAGAAATTAATCAGACTTGCTTAAGGCCATAAATTAAACAATACTAAAGCTTAGACCAGTGCCCTTTCTCATTTTCTATCTGGTGTCTAATTTCATGACTTTAATGGTTAATACCTGGCTTAGTAAAGATCATCAGCAAAAATTCTTCTTTTTAAATATTATTAGAAACACAACATCTTACATTCCTAAGCCATGTGTTAAAATGTTTAACTTCTCCCTGCTGTCTGTTCCTGTGTATGTGTTACAGGAGAGCGAGATGATGATGACAGAGGCTTCCTGAATTTGTTCCATCTTCTGCATGCTCAGGCAAACTTCCATAAGGAGGTGCTATATTTGACCATGAATGCCTCCTCTTCCTAAGTCAAGAAGCTTGTCACTTAAAGAATATGTCACCAGACTAGCACTTAGGATAGTGATGCTTTTTCACATCCAAGGGTAGCACCTGTTGGACTTTTGATAATCTAATTATCCAGAAACTCTAGCTGCACAGGATTTTAGCTGTAATTGCTTCACCTTGATTAATGTAAAATAACTTGCAAACCCAAGAATGTGTTGCTACTTTTTTGGGAAACAGCTCTCCAGGTCTTGGTAAACTCAACATCAAACTAAAACAGAATGTTAACTGTGCAAGATCTGCAGCCAACTCAACCTATTTGTGTGGCTCTTTGAAGCAAGAGCTAATTCTGCTTTACTAAGAACAGATTCACTTTCATTAACTAGTGCTATCTGTTCACTTTGCTTAGGCTGAAAATTATGGCCCAAATGTTTTGTGAGGATTTGTAATACTGTGTTTTAGAATGTGCATTATGTAAGTCACATTCTTTACCACCTTCATAGCATATGCTTACAAAATAAATCTTATAATTTTGGATGAACTAACAGAAAAAATCCAAAATAAATATGTGTAGATACACATATATGTATATTTTCATACATATATTTCCTGCAAGGCAATCATACAAAAGATCTACAAATAGAGGAAGGTGTGTGTATGTGAGCTATAGTCTTCAGATAATGGAATCATCTTGTAAATTCCCTGAGAATTAGAGCAGAGAATTGCAAGCAGAAGAAAATACATAGCTCTTCTGCTGCCAGAACATGTAACTCCCCTTCTTGGTAAGACTTTCTTCCCTGTCCCAGAAAGTGGGGTTTAATGATGGGAATTAAAAGCACACATGGTTGGAGTAGCCAAAGAGAGAGGAGACAGGGCAGGCGAGAGAAAGTGTCTAGGATCCCAGGGAACTCTAGACCCATTCAGTAGGCCTGCCACCTACCTTCACCTCCACTTGCTAAGAGAGGAGCTCTAGTGCAGGGGCCTCTAGAGCTCTTGTTTTCCTCTTCTCCAGCCCCTCCCCTCCAGTCAAATGCAGGGCTTTGCACATGCTGAGCAAGCACTTCACCACTAAGCTGTATCCTAGCCCACTATCACCTTCCCACAGGATTTCTCAGAACACTAGGGAATAAAGAAATTACCTTCAGCGGCAGGGTGTAAAGAAAGTTCATAAATTTTAACAAACAGGCTCTGAAAATTTGATAGAACTGAGGAGCAGTGAAGATTGTGAAATTTAAAAAAAAAATGTGGTAATACCTTTTTGTTATCCAATTATAATTCCTCTATTGGAAGATTTTTTTCCTCCAGAGTTTATTTGAAGATTTGGAAAAAACACTCTTGCTTTTATGAACCTCATTCATTTTCTTCTACTCAGTTGAAGAATTGGTCTGTAACAATTAGCCTGGGCAGCCTATAGTAACAACAAGTACCAGAATGCAAAGGAACACCTCAGAGCATTTCATTTTTCCTGCCTCTGATATTCCAATAACCACCTTGGAAAGATTACTATTTTTACTTCTCAAAACACTAGTGATTTCAAGTTGACATAATCTTAAAAAGAAAAAAATCAAATGTTAGTATGAATAGTATTCTAATGATTATACTTATTAACTTTTATTTTCTATTTTCATTTTTGACTCAATTTCTCCACATACCCCTAACTGTCTTGAAACTTACTTTGTAGATCAGGGGGCCTCAAACTCACAGAGATCCACGTGCATCTTCCTTCTGAGTGCTGGGATTAAAGGCTTGTGCCACCACGTCCAGCTCTAAAAATTTTGATAAACAGATAATTTCATTTTATGGGGCTAAGAGTAACTGGCTGCTCTTACAGAGAATTTGGGTTCAGTCCCCAACACCAATATAGCAACTTAAAACCATCTGAAACTCCAGTTCCAGGGGACCCCATGCCTTCTTCTTGTTGTGCAGGCATGTACATGGTACATATCCATCCAGGCTAAACACCATACACATAGAGTAAATATGAATCTTTTTCTAAAAGATAATTTCATTTTCTTAGAGAGAGAAATGTGTCATTGTGAAGTTTGCTTTAATTCCTTGAATTACGTAAGTCTCCACAAAAGTTATTTTTAGAAGTTTTATCAAAGTTCCATGTTTTAGTTAAAACAATTTATTTTCTGTACTTGAAATTGAACTTGGAGCCTCACACTTACTAGATAAACATTCTGCTGCTGAACTATAATCCCAGATAATTTAAAGTCTCTTTTATTGGATTTGAGACTCTTTGCACTTTTGCTAGCACAACTCGATGCTGTAAATTCTTTCAAATTCACATAATTTTGTTAATCTTGATTATTATCCTCCCTTATCCAGAATTTGGATCTGAAAAAAAAAATTAGCCTAAGCCAGGTGGTTGTGGCACTCAGGATGCAGAGGCAGGTGGATCTCTGTGAATTCGAGGCCAACCTGGTCTACAGAGTGAGTTCCAGGACAGCCTCCAAAGCTACAGAGAAACCCTGTCTCCAAAAACCAAAACAAAACAAAACAAAAAAAGGAAGAAAAGAAAAAGAAATTTAGCCTATGACTTCAGTAGATAGTACTTTTTTCTCCTTTCTTTTTTTGTTTGTTTGTTTTGCTTTTTGTTTTTCAAGACATGGTTTCTTTGTGTAGCCCTGCCTATCCTGGAACTCAATTTGTAGACCAGGCTTACCTCAAACTCAGAGATCTGTCTGCCTCTGCCTCCTGAGTGCTGGGATTAAAGGCTATGTCACCACTGCCAGGCTCCTTTTTTTCTATCTCTGAATAGTAAATTGACAAGTTTTTCATTTAATTATTAATAGATAAAATAAATTTGGAAACAAATCTGCCGGTTTCACAATTTAGTGATCCAGTTGATTTTTGTGGAGTACATTTGTCATCAAAAATATAGTGATTTTGAGTTGTAAAGAGGGACATTAAATTGAAGGAAGCACTTGTTCAGAGGTTTAAGTAACAGGCAGTCTGATTAACCACAAAAAAAGAAAATGGAACATTTGAAAATGAGTAGATTGAAACACTAGAACTAACTAGAATAATCACAAAAACACTGTGCAAATTTTCCACCAGACAAACATTTTCTCCTGCCTCCAAACCAGATCAGTCTCCATGATCACTAGAGACCCAGGACCCCCTGGGATGTCTTTTCCTTTTTGCAGTGAAACCCTAGGCCTCCTATGGCATTGGTTTATAAGATCCATTTTCCTTTTACATCACTACATTACTTACTCGTTATTGTTGTTTCTGAAGACACAACATGTTACTACTTATTTTAGAAACTTAAGTTTATATCTTGTGGTGACTGTTTCAACAGTGTAAAGCCATATATTTCCCTCACACTTGTGGATGACGCCCTCTGTCCCCTCAGTCAGTAAGTGGCAGTTCCTGAAAGTTCCAGAGGCCAAGTTGAGCACTGCTCACCAGCAGCTGCTTAGAAGTTTCTTGTCTTGGATTGACTGTACTTGCGGGCCTTTACTGCTAAGGTAACTGCTCACCTTTGGAGAGCAGAGCCTGCATGAGGTGTCCAGGAGAAGGTGTAATGGCAGAACTATTTTATGACTAAGAAATAAACACTACCCTGTTTATGGGATTATTGGCAAGGCCAGCATCCTTATGTAAATAGTACTCAATCATATGATTGCATATTTGTGTATGCCTTTGACAGCCTCTGTGATTACTGCAAGCCTTATTAACACTCCACTAGCAGTGTGCACTGCTATCTCAAAAGCATTGTGTTGTGCTAAACGCTTTTGATGCCCAATATTATATTTGTTAAACTTTTACTCATTTTAATAAAGCTTATACTGAAAATATTTTAAATATGTTCAGAGTTTGTCATTATTCTAGTCATTAACTTTCTTGAAATGTAATTCTTTCTTAGACAGGGTCTTATTATGTAGTCCTGGCTGACTGGGAACTATGCGGACTAGACTGGCCTCTGACTCCCACAGATCCACCTCTGCCTCCAGAGTACTGAAACTAAAGGCTTGTGCCACCAGCCTGGCTAAGCTATCAGTTAAATTCTACAGTGATTTTAAAAACTGAATTGTTAAAGCTAGTTGTATGCCTATAATCCCCATACTTGGGAGGTAGGGGCAGGGGAGGAAGATTGCTGCGAATTTGAAGCCAGCCTGTTGTACATATCAAGTTCCAGGCTAGTCAGAACTGCATACACAGCCCTCTGTTTTCAAACACTGGGGATGGGAACTGAGGCTAGCACCTTGCACATGCTAGGCAAGCACTGTGCCAGTAACCTTATCTCAGGCCTGTGCCTCTGTTTGTTCAGGTGTTGAGGATGGAGTTCAGGGTCGCAAGCATGGCGAACACACACTACTACTAAGCTGGAGTGCAGGCCCAGGGAATTGTCTAAATTAGTGTTGCAGACAGTGTAGTGTATCTATCATATTCTTAATAGTGTAGTGTCCAAAGATTAATAACTTCATTTACTAGCACCTACTCATAAACTGAGCAGTAATCTGTAAGTAGAACAACATTGTACACTGTTCTCTCCAATTCAGAGACAACTCCAAGCATCATTTCAATTGCTTCTAAAATAAAGATGTTCTAATTATCAGTTTAACACTAGTTCCAAATCTCTAAATAAACAATTAAATATTGTGTGTTACTAGCAATTTCCTGAAACTACAAGGTTTCAGTATCTGTTTTGTCTCCTCCCTCCCTGGGCAGATACAACCCAGGACATTGCCCAATATAGCCAAGTGATCCTTAGGTGTTTTTATCTGAGAATGGTGGTACAAGCTTTAACTTTATGAGTTTTAGGCCAGCCTGTTCTACATACCAAGTTCCATACTAGCCAAGACTACACAATAAAACCTTGTTTTTAAAAAATACTAAAATTAAGAGGAGTTAATAGCTCTAGACCTAACAAAACACAGGTTTAATAATGCATGTAATAGACAGTTTCCACCTCAGCTACACGAAAGTTTCTAAGGGAAAATGTTATTATTTATAATTTTAAATTTAAATATGTTAAAGGATTGAAATTTTTGAATAATGCTAAATTTAAGCCATTTTTAAAAAGCAAGGTATTTTTTCTGAAATTTAATAGATCTTTTTTCAACTTCATTTCAAGATGAAAAACTTGCAGTCTGAGTTTGCACAATCAGAAAAACACATTGAAGGTGTCTGGCTTTGCAGCATTTCACTCCTCTATTTAACTTTCTCAAAATGGATCCTTTTTCCTAAAATAAATTATATTACTTTCCTAGACCTCCATAAAAAATATTAATGAAATGATTCTTAGGATTATGTAATCTTAACTTTTCCAGCATAGTTTACAGTTATTTATAAACATTTTATTGCATTAGCATGAGTCAAATATGACTTCCATTTTCCTGGACACTGTAACAGAGATCTGTAAAATGTATACAAAACTTTATAGTACAAATAAAAATTTTAGTGGTGGGGGCAAAAGAGATGGCTCAGTGGTTAAGAGCACTGGGTTCAGTTCCCAGCACCCATATGGCAGCTCACAACTGTCTGTAACTCCAGTTTTAGGGGATCTGACACCTTCACACTAATGCATATAAAATAAGATTAAATTTTTAAAAATTTCAGTGTTTTATTGTGCTTGAGAATGCCAATATACATGTAGTTTAAATATGAAATAAAACATTCTCCAGCTAGACACAGTAATAGTTCGTGTTTATAATCCCAGTACTTGGGAAACTAAGGCAAGAGGATTGCTACAAGTTCAAGGCCAGCCTAAGGTATATATAAATGGATTCCAGGCCAGGTGGAATTTAAAAAGAAAAAATTACTTTTCCTAACTATTCAAAAGGCAAGAGCTTGGAGACTATTAAACAAATAAATAAATAAATAAAATGTTATCTGGGTGGTGATGGTGCATACTTTTAGTCTCAGCTCTCAGGAGGCAGAGACAGGGAATCTCTGGGAGTTCGAGGCCAGCCTGGTGAGTTCCAGGACAGCCAGAGTTGCACAGAGAGACCTTGTCTCAAAAACTAAATAAATAAAATGTTGTTTGGGTTTGGTTTTTGAGATAAGGCCTCAAACTCAGACCATCCCAAGTGCTGGGATTAAAGGTGTGTGCCACTAGGTTGAGCAAAATAAATTTATCAAGGCTGGAGATATGGTTCAGCAATTAAAAGCAATGCTGCTCTTGCAGAGGACAGAGTTCACTTCCTAATACCTCACAATTGTCTGTAACTACATTTCTAGGCGATCCAACATTATCTTTTGACCTCTGCTTCACAGGCACTAGGCACATATGTGTTGCACAGACACACATGCAGGCAGAACACCCATATAGGTAAGATAAAAATAAAAGAAGTTTAAAGATAAGTACATTTATCAAAACAAAACAATACTAGCACTGGAGGGAGAGGTTGAAACAGGAGGATGAGGCCAGCCTGGGATATTTAGTAAGTCCTTGTGTTGACTTACTGTCCCACCTGGTCCCGCAGCCATTTAGCCCCAAATAAACACACTGAGGCTTATATTAATTATAAACTGTTTGGCCAATGGCTCAGGCTTCTTATTGGATAGCTCTCTCTTAATTAGTAACCCATTTCTATTAATCTGTGAATCTCTACGTGTTCTTGGCTTACCAGTGATGCCAGGGTCTTTTGCTTCCTGGGCAAATACATAGCATCTCCCTGACTCCACCTACTACCTTTCTATATCCCTGTTTGGATGTCCCACCTGGCTAAATTCTGCCTGTCCATTGGCTGAAACAGCTTTATTCATCAACTAATAAGAGAGATAGATTCACAGCATACAGAAGGACATCCCCATCACCCTTGTCTTAGAAAACAAAGAACAAAAACAAAGCAAAACAACAGAAACCTACTGTTATTCCTGACCTGAGTGTATTACTGCATGAGTATGTAGACACAAAGTAACAATTCTCCAAAGTATTTCTTTTTTTTGGGGGGGGGGCGGTGCCAGAGTTTGAGATAGGGTTTCTGTATCCTGTAACTTGCTTTGTAGACCAGGCTGGCCTCAAACTCACAGACATCCACTTGCCTCTGCTTCCTGAGAGCTGGGATTAAAGGTGTGCATCACCATGTCTGACCAAAGTTTATTTCTTAAAACTGTGGAGCTGATTGATGAGACATCACAGTGGTAAAGGTGCCTGTCTGTCACACCTGAAAGCCTGTTTGATACTCTGGCCACATGATATAAGGACAGAACAGACTCCCATATATAGGCCATGTACACACACACACACACACACACACACACACACACACACACACACACACTCACTCAAAATATTTTTTTAACTATGATGTTGTATTGTATAAATATCATTCTTTAAAAGGCTACAGAAATGGTCCCATGGTTAAGGGCATTTACTGATGTTGCAGAAGACCCAGATTCAGTCAGTTCCCTATTGAGGTTTAATAAGAATCAAGAGAAACAAATAGTCCAAATAGATGTTTATTCAGGGAGAAATAACTTAAAACATAGACAGATGAACACACCAGCAGGTTCCTGGTCCCAAGGATGCCTCCAGATATTCTCCTATTCCCAAGCTGTAAGCAAGAGAGCTCTCTGAGCCCCCTCCTCAGACTTAGTCTCCCCCCCCAACATCCGCCCCTGTCCCCACCCGCTAATGGGCGTGGTCTGTGCCTTGGTGTGGACAAAGTGAATATCTCACTACAATTCCCCTTTTAGTCTAAAGAGAAGATTTAGGTTTGATACAAAACAATGAATAACAAGTGTGCTCTGAGAAAAGGAAAATCGAGAATATTTCAAATCAAGAACAAACTTAAGACCTACAATTCCCAGCACCCACATGGTGGCTACAATCACCTGTACTCCAACTCCAGGGAACCTTATACCCTCTTCTGACCTCCCTGGCTTCTGCAGCATCATGGTGCATAGACATACACTCAGATGTGCAACATACAAGATAAAATGAAAAAAATAGAGGGTAATCTTTTTGTTCTTATGTTGTGCCATGTCTAGAGGCTTATGTAATTAATGTATAACTGAGATCGGCCTCTGCCCGATGTTTCAGTTCTATATGGGTACAAACTGAAGAACTGTGGCTTCATAAAACCTCAGAATTAACTTGATTAAAGCCTACACCATAAAGATTTAACCACCATAATTAACTCTGTACTTTGGAGTCCTTCTACTCTTGATACTTGCTTAGGTAAGGGTGCAGAACTGCTATGTTAGTAGAAAATTGTAGTTTGGGCCAGGCATGGTGGTTCAGGCCTGTAATCCTAGCTCTTGGGAGTGGAGGTTGTTACGATTTCAAGTTTGAAGCCAGCCTGGGCTACATCTCAAGAAAAAAAATAGATAAGGAAAGAGAACAGAGGAAAGAAGGACTTGGAGTTTGAAATAATAAGATTATGCTAAAGTCAGAGAAATACTTGAGAGGGGAATGTCAAGGTGCCCCTGAATGTCAGGGCCATGCTTATTACATTAATGAATCTGTGGATTACTTGTCACATAGTATTGTGTTTGTTAATGTGCTAATACCACAGACAAATTATCTGAAATAATATCTTCAGTAAATAAACACATTTTCTCCTCAAATTTATCTTGCAGTTGAATTTTCATTATAAAGTATTGTGTTAAGGTGGACCTTGTAATTTCAGCATCCAGGAACTGAGGCAGGAAGATTGAGTTTGAGGCCAGCTGGGCTCCATAGCAAGACCCTGCCTGGAACAAAGCCCTTTGGGGAAGTGTGGTAAATTATTAAAATTGTCTAGGGATTCTACGCTTAATGATGTCATTTTCAAAGAATTATGTAGCCAAGAGTTTTATATTTGTTTTTTGTTTGTTTGTTTTTTGAGACAGGGTTTCTCTGTGTAACAGCCCTGGCTGTCCTGGAACTCACCCTGTAGACCAGGCTGCCCTCAACTCAGAGGTCTGCCTGCCTCTACCTCCTGAGTGCTGCGGCCATGCAGCACCAGGCCTGGCTGTGAGTTTTAGAATTTTAGCATGGGAAGGGATAGGAAATCTTTTCCAGTAGGAATAAACTAAAGCCCCAAAGTTTAAGTGTCATATGGAAGGCCATTTATTTATGATCTTTCCAAGACATCATTTCTCGTCTGCATTTTATCATTATTTGTAAGACATGAGGATCTTGGGCTGGAGTTGGTAGAGTGGTACTTGACTAGAATGGATGAGGTTCAGTCCTGAGCACTGCAAAATAAAGAATGGGAAGCCAGGCGGTGGTGGCACACATCTTTGATCCCAGTGCTCAGGAGGCAGAGGCAGAAGAATCTCTGTGAGTTCAAGGCCAGCCTGGTCTACAGAGTTCCAGGACAGTCTCCAAAGCTACACAGAGAAACCCTGTCTCAAGAAACAAAACAAATACAAATAAGTAAATAATGGGAAGAGGTGAGTTCTTCCTTTGCTGCTTGAGCAGTCTTCCTGTCTTACCTGGGGGTTACAGGTTCACCACCACACACAGGCTAGTTCAGGAAGTCATTTAAAATGCAAACATGTAACACAAATTACAGAAACTTCAATCTCTCTCGTTTTATTTATTCATTTTGAGACAGAGTTTCTCTGTGTAATAACTCTAGCTGTTAGCTATCTTATAACTCACTCTGTACACCAGGCTGGCCTGGAACTCACAGAGATCCGCCCACCTCCAGAAAACTGGGATCAAAGGTGTACACCACCACCACCCAGCATTATGTGCATTGGTGTTTTGCCTGCATGTATATCTGTGTGAGAGTTTCAGATCTTAGAGTTAAAGGCAGTTGTGAGCTCCCATGTGGGTGCTGGGAATTGGACCCCAGTCCTCTGGAAGGCATATTCTTAACCACTGAGCCATCACTCCAGCTATGAGTTGGGAGCTAGCCTGGTCTACAGATCAAGTTTCAGTATAGACTTCAAAGCTACAGAGAAATCCTGTCTCGAAAACAAACAAATAAATAAATAAATACGAAATTGAACAAAATATTATTACAAGAAACTTTTATTCTTTTTCCTTGTTTATTTTCAAGCTAGAAAAGAAAATCAATGTAGAACAATTATGATGGAGTCTCCAAGGGAATAATAGTCACCACAGATCTGAGGCCAAATCCACTCTGTATCTCTGTATTCTAAAACGTGGGGTTTTTTTCAACCCTAACTAGACAAGTAAATATGAAAACAATTTCATTTTGTTTTTTAAACAAAAGGAAAATTTAACAACAACAACAAAAAAAGTTTTAAAGCCCCTCCCTTAGGGGTAAAGTTTATTTTGCTAAATTAATATAGACATTTTGTTTCAATGCTTTATAGGTAGTCACAAAGAATAAGGACTTCACAGCCATGTATCTCATCAGATAGAAGCTGGGGACAAATGGGACGAGGAGGAAAGAAATGGGAAATCTTAAAAAATGCAAATGACAGGTTTTTGGGGGGTGGGGAGGCCAGCAATCAAGGGAAACCACATAACCTCAGACTGCACAATAAAGACACTGATAAGACAGACACAGACAGACAGAATTCGCCCCTGAGTTTACAAGGGAACGCCTGCTTGTGAAACAGAAAGGAAAGAAAAGTTTGGCATTGTCTACAGTTGCATGTAAACCTAAGAAAAGGCTGCCCATATGAATACCTTGGCAGTTCTCCGCTGTGACTTTGCGGTTTCTACAATTCAACCTTCCACATTTCCAATACAGCCTGTCTACAACTTAAACACATGCAGCAGCTGCCAGTGGTATCCTTGAACTCCTGATGTCCTCACAGAGTCCCTGCTTGCCAAGGGTTAGCCACATCCCGACACATTGGAAGAAGTCAGTTGGACCTCAGGACTCCTGCTATTGGGCAGAGCCCTCCTTCTGGACGGAACACCGGAGCTGTGGGAAACCCAGAAACAAAGTGCTCAGCCGACTGCCAGTACCGGTCAGGAACTATCTGAGAGCCCTCCCCACTCCTCCACACCAAATTCCATACCTGGGGAAAGTGGGCCCCTCCCCCAGACCTTACCCCAAGTAAATTTCATTTGCTACTGTTTCTCAAGTGGGAATGAATTAACTCACACTAGTCAGTTAATGAATGCAGTTATGCCGGCAGATTTGGAAACCACCCTGCCCCACACATAAGAATGTACTGTAGTCATTGCCAGTAGAAAATGTACAACTTGGTTTTGCATCTACTTGGAAGAGGAAATTAGGAAATGATAGGCCCTCTCTCTACCACATACATACCTCCCCTCCCATCCTACCTAAAACCCAGTGCATTGTGAAGTTTATTTTTAATTTTAAGAAATCACATTTTAAATTGGTTCCCAAAGGAACCTTGCCTTTCTTGTTCTTTTCAAATTGATCCAAGAAATGCTACGTCAGTGTCTGAGAAACAGATACAAAAAAAAAAAAAAAAAAAAGCTCTCTTTTCATTTTTGTTTTTGAATCAATACCCGAATAATGACCAGAAGCAAAAATCCACCGGTGCGTCAGCAAGGAGGATGCTTGGTGCTTCAGCTCCATCCTTCTTCCCCTCGCAGCCCCTGCAGCTCCAGGCCGCTAGAGCAGATAGATAATGTAGGACAGAACCACCAGGCCTATGATGGCAAAGAACATGAGGATGAAAATATCCAGCATGGTGAAATACTAAGCAGGGGAGTCGCCTGGATTCCGGGGAAATGAGAGCTGCAAGCGTGGAGGTCGGTCAGCGCAGAGAAATGGCTCCTATTCCCTCCCCCTTCCTGTTCCCTCGCCCTCTCAGGGACCTGAGGCTAAGGGATGCTGTAACTCCATCAGCAGCCTACTCTCCACCTCCATCATCACAGTCAGCCAATCACAAAGCCCACGTTGGGTAAACAGGGAACAGCTAGACCAAGCAAAACCAGAGAGGTTCAATTTCTTCCCAGGAAGCCAGTCCCGCCCCTGTGTGTGGAACCACTATCTGTATTTAGATACAGTTTCTGCACTGAGTGGGCTGCTCCAGTATGAGCATGTGTGAGTGGAGAATCTCTACAGACCCCTTAGGGACGGATTCTTCTGCCTGCTTTCTTTTTCCTCTCTGGCAATTTATCTCAGACTAATCGTTACCAGTTGTGTGGGCCATTGGCTAGTTGAAAGGAGAGCACAGTCGAAGGTCTCATGTGGTCTCAGAGGGCATCTCTGGTGTGGACACAAGCTTTACACTGTGCCAAGCATTGCACACGTGGGGTAATTTCAACCTGTCTGAAGTCTGTTATACCTGGGCTCAGAGGTGGTCATGAGCTTACTTTCCTTACAGCTTGTCAACAGGGGGTGGAACTCAAAGCAAGGCTCCCTTTCTTCTAAATCCACATTCCTTCCCTCCCTCCCTTCCCGCCCCCCTCTCGGTTTTTTGAGACAGGGTTTCTCTGTGTAAAAGTCCTTGGCTGTCCTGGAACTGGCTTTGTAGATCCACCAGAGTGCTGGGATACTCTCCCCCACCAAATCCACACTTTTTGAGTCCACCTCACCCTGGCTTGCCTTGTTGGTCTGAGAGATCCCAGAGCCTGACTCATTTGTGTTACATGAGGTCTCCCCTCCACCTTTTCTGTTCTGTTGTTACTCATACTCACTTTGTCTCTTCAGAGAGTTTAGCTTAGGGTCATCCTTAGAAAAGACACTGAGAAACTCATACACCCACTCCTGGATAGCAAGTGTCTAGAAATGCAAATTTATTTATTTTTTTTATTGTTTTGTTTTGAGAAAATTTCATGTAGCCCAGGCTGGCCTTGCATAGATTCTCCTGCCTCTACCTCTTGACCTCCTGAGTGTTGAGATTATAGTCAGCTGTCAAGTTGTTTCTTCTGAGGGAGAAAAGCTGGATGTCTTATTAAAAGTCAGTGATATCAGAACCAACAATAGGCTCAGACAGTACAGGTGCCTTGCACAAAATCTGACGACCTGAGTTCAATCCCTGGGCCCCACATGGTGGCAAGACAGAAATGACTCCTGTAAATTGTCCTGTGATGTCACACATGCCCTGACGTGTAAACACATATACACACTTGCACATACAATAAATGAAAAAGTGTTAAAAAAAAACCCCACGACCCCTCAGTGATATACTTTGATTTCTGCTGTGTGTGTGCACGCACCAACTGTTCCTTATTAAAAGAAAAATCCTATAGGCCACCTCTGAGGTCTAATGTCCTTAGCCTCACCCCAAACAGTCCAGGAACTTAGGCCACTCCCAGAAGAGGAGCCTTCCTTGAGCAGGCAGCCCAGCAGGTGACAAGTGACCTTCCGGGAAGGGACCTACAGCAAGGAAGACAGGCGTGTCACCAGGTGGGCAGGCTCTTCTGCTGCTGTTGGGAACTATACACTGTCAGCTGCTGTGGGGACAGTGTGGGAAGAGCCCCGCCCAGAGCACTCCCTTTCTCCTGTCTGCGGCATTCAGCCTTGCCATTCTCTGGATTACTTTTGGCTCTTTGCCTCTCAGCAGCTGCTCCCCTGGGGCCAGAGAATACTTTCACATGTATCCCCAGTGGGAAATGCCCCTTTCCACAAAGCCTCTGGTCAGGTAGCTGAAGACCATGAGTGTGGAGGATGTCGGGAGGTGGAGAGTGTGGGTTCAAGAGGGTCGGTCAATTGCAAAAAAGCTCAGAGGTATTTTAAGAACTTTATAGCCTTTGCAGCTGCAGGGGACCCCAGCTTCAGGGAACTGAAGTACCTTCCCTATGCCCAGGGCATTTTTATTTTTCTCTGTATTTACACTTTAGCCATATGCTGAGAATAACTTGAATGAGGCTTCCAAAAAAAAACTATGCCATGTACAAAGTTTCAATTTATAGGTACCACAGTTTTCAGAACCAAGTTTTGCATAGGTCTTTTTTCTTCCTGGGAAAGTTCCAAACAAAGTTCACATAGCGAGACAAAATGTATCTGGTCAGTCAAAGGATGGATAAGGCTATGTGCTAGCTCTTCAGAGCTAGGCCAGGTGGCATTCAGTGGGTGGTTAGGGCTAGTTGCTACCACAGCGAAACGCTAGGCCAGCACGATACTGCCAGGCCAGCGAGGGGAGCCAGGGTCCAGGAGTGCTATCTCACCTACCACAGGTCCCTTCCCAGACCCACCAAACAAAAAGTCTGACCGTAGTGCCTGCAATCAAGCTGGATGGGAGAAGATGGGAGAGAAAAGTGGGAAGGTTGCCTTAAAATATTTAAAAAACGACAACAAAAATCGAAAAACCAGGCCACCCTATGGAGGGTTTATCTGTAGCACTGTAGACTGTCCTAGTTGCTACCATTTTACAATTCAAATGCCTGGGCTGAATTCACTGGCTGACTTGAACACTTGAGTAGCCAGAGACCAGGAACTTGAATGAGATGCCTGGCTGTCCCTGAGCACCCTGACTAGGAAGGAGGAAGGTGTTCAGTGGAAGAGGGGGTTCAGTGTGAGGGGCCTCAGAACTCGGAACGCCAGCCTTGTGTGCTGGCAGAATTGTCCCCAGTGGAAGCCATTGGAAGGCCGGGGTATGTCCTCGAGGAAGCCGGTGTTGGAGCATGATGAACAGGCAGTTATGCTTTGGTTTCTAGGTCAATCCTCTCTTTGAGGGGTAACTGGGCTCTCCATGGGTAATAGATCAACATCCTCTGGCAGACAGGACACACATAGAAGTTACTTCAAAGCTAAAGAGGAAGCTCAGCCCTCAGGTAAAAATTAGACTTTTATTTGCGTCACCAGGATAAAGATTCACTTTGTGGTTCAAGTCAATGTTCAGAATCATAACAGGCCAGAAAGAACTGATCCCGAGTGCAAGGCCGGGAGGGAGGGGACCAAACAGACCAAAGAAAGATGACAACTCCATATAAAAGATGAGTGGGCAGTTCACACACACAGACACACAGACACACACACACACAGATGGAATGTCGGACAGAGGCGAATTTCACGGGTCACTTCTGTTTCCTTTTAAATACAGGCTTTGTGGGGTGGTACTTTTGTCTTGTGTCCAGCTATTAACAAATAAAACGCTCCCTGGAGGGACATGAGGGCGGGAAAACAGGAAGCAGTGTGGGGAGAATTCACATCCCTCACCGTGGGACTTCTGGCATTGCAGGATTGACCCACAAAAGTTAAGTTCACAGTCTAGCCAAGGTGCCTTTTTCCCCCCTGGGTTTTGATTGGCTGAAAGACCTTTACGAAGGAAGAGACCGTGGGCTTGGGGATCCTGTGCTCTTCTAGGGGTGGATGCTTCTGGAAAAGAATATGGACTCCAGCTGGGGCCCTCAGCACCAATAGACAGATCCTCTTCCCTCTGTGGGTGTGAGCGTCTCCCCCATTTCTAGGGGGGTAGAAGAGCAATGTTGGGAAGGGAAATTCAGCTGACTGGAATCAGGCTGTGGCACCTCCCAAGCACAGGCCCTCCAAGAGCGAGAGTCCCTGACCTCTGGTCCCCAGAACCTCCTTGTGCTTTGAGATCAAAGGGAAATGGAGTAGACTGGCACCTTCCCAGGGGCTCCTGGTATACACCCACAGCCTCCCCAAGCTGCACACAGGAAAGGGGATTGGCCAGGCAGGAGGGTAGCTCCTTACTAATCTAGCAAGCCCTCACAGGTTGTCTTGACCCTTGCATCAGTGACCTGACCAATGCCTTCAGGTTCAAATCGCACCTGCAACAGGGTCTGTGTGCTAAGAGACCTGATAAGAGACTCTGAGTGAAGATGAGAGTCGGGGGACCCAGGAGAGGCGACAAGAGAACTCAGAGATGAATGAAGCTGAGTGAGGACTGTCCCAGGCCCCAGGTACAAAGGAGGAACCTGAGTTTAGCACCAGTCCAGAGATGGTGCCGCCAGCTTTGGAACTCTCCCGCTCCAAGGGACAGGAAAGCCCCAAGGGAGTTGGTACGGTGTGGGTGACTTGGTCTTACCCTACTCTGTAGACTCAGACACAAGGAGAGGAAAGCCTTCTCCCACCTCCCCAGTGAGTGAGCAAAAGGATGGAGCCTCCCTCCTGTGCGTCCAGGAGACTGTTTTCATTCTCTGGCTTTGTAAGCCCCAAGCCCCATCCAGCCTTGTGGAAGGAAGGCCATAGGAGACATAAAGACCTCTTCCCAGGGGAGCAGGAAGGAACAACCCAGTTAACTCAAGTTGCAAAGGCATCCCTTGCTTTAGCCTTCACAGCAGGTCCCAGCCAGGGAGATAAAGAGAGTCCCTGGAGCTGGGGGATGGGAGAAATAGGCCTGGGGAGAACACCCTGTTCCCTCCTTCCCGCTGCTGCCCCTAAAACTAAGGCAAGAACTTGACCCAAGCTGTGCCTCCTGAGGAGCTCTCTGGCCATCCTAGGTTTGCGTGGGCAGGACGGCACGCTCAGCGTGTGAAGGAACGCGTACTGGGTCAGGAGGGAGGACTAGCAGAAAGGTAGACTCATCACATTGGTCCCGACATAACTGAGGCTTCAATACCTACCCTCTGGGAATGGGTGGAACACCACCTGGAGGCATAAGGAGTATGGGGCTCACCCTAGGATACAGAGTATCAGGGGAGCTAGGCCAGGTGTTCTGAGGGGCTAAGGCAGGAAGTGAAGTTGGGGGGCTAACCAACCCTCCCTTCCCTAAGACAGGGTCTCATCTGGCTGTCCTGGAACTCAAGATGTAGACCAGGCCAGCCTTGAATTCAGAGATCTGTTTGTCTCTGGCTCCCACGTGCTGGGTTTAAAGGTATGTGCCACTATGCCCTGCCTATCCAATCTCTTTAATGGGTCTCCTATTTCAGCCCAGCCCTGTGAGCCCAGCCTCCCCAGAACAGCCCTGCCCTCCCCAGAGTGCCCAGCCTGTTCCATCCAGAGAGAAAAATCAGTCGGTTGGTCCAAGGGAAAACCTGCCAGAGGAAGGAGCCGGGGCAGTGGCAGAACAAGGCGTGGGGTGGCAAAAGAAGCTGGAGGAGGGGCAGGGATGAAGCAGTGGCGGATCTTAGAAGACAGAGAGACACTGAAGGGTGGACGGGTCAGGCCCCAGGACAGATGTGATGCCATGGAATGCACTGAAGAAGAGGGTGGGACAGCACGGGGCTCAGATGGCCTCCACGTAGTTGGCTGGCAGCATCCCTGTGTCGCCAGTGCGCTCCACGGTCCCATACATCCAGCCATCATCGATCTGCTGCACATTGACGATGGTGTCCCCGTCCTGGAAGGAGACCTCGTCCTCGTCGGCAGCACTGTAGTCATACACTGCGCGGTACCGTTTCTGGGAAGCACAGTCAATAGTCAGTCTGGGTATTGGATATAGGCTCTCCCATACCCAGACCATCACCTGTGCCAGGCAAGTAAGTGTTCCGCTAAGTGACAATGAACCAGAAGACACTCTATGGACTCTGCCATAGAGTATCTTGTACAGGTCAGCCTTAAAGTCCCATAGGTTCAACACCAAGATAGGGGTTTTAAAATGTGATATGCCATCCAGGGTGCATACCTTTAATCCCAGCACCCAGCATGGAGATCAGCCTAGCGCACCCTAGTGGGATGTATCCTAGAACATCAAGGCCAGCATGTTCAACACCAAGAACTGTCAAGCTTCTTATTGTTGCTCATTTTCTTGCCCACAAAAAAATAAAATGCATGAATCCTACCATAGGCCTGGCTCAAGATGGCAGGCAGCATAAGACTACCTCCTGCCCACACAAAAGCTAGTACCACATAATTGCTTTCTAAGCTTTCTAAGGGAAAGGGACACAGTACAGGGAACAGAACCCCAAAGTCCCATGCATATTAGGCAAGTGCTCTACCACTGAGCTATATATATCCTTAGCCTTTATCCCGTGTGTGTGCCCGTGTGTGCCCATACACAGGAGCATATAGCTGTGACCTCTCTCATCCAGTCTCCATTCTGGACAGATACTCACCCCGCCGCCACCTGGGGCACTACGCTGCTGTATGGAGACAGGGGCTGCGGGCTCCTTGTAGCCACCATAGGACTGAGTCAGCTGCTGTTGTTGAGGCTGCTGGTAAACTGGAAGATGGAAGAGACAGGACTCAGAAAGTGCCTTGCCAAGTCCATTGCCCCATTGCACCTAAGCCAAAGACATGAATTTTCAACCCCACTCCAGCCTTGCTCAGCAACCCCCCACAAAGGCTTACAGCTAGGTGTGTCTTGGACCTTCATGCTCCTCATACTGGGATCTACTTTTCCCTTTTCCTGATGGGTCCACCCACACCCTTAGCAGGGATGGGAATGCGATCCTGGGGAACAGTCCTACATGTATGGATGCCTGTGTGCGCAGCCCCTTCTCATTGTCCCATGCTCCTGACCTCAGGGGCCCCTCTTGCCCACCCCAGCTCCCAGGCTAGCACTTACCTGGGGCACTAGCTGGGATGTGGTGAGGCTGTGGCTGTTGCTGCTCCGGTGGCCTCCGGTAGCTGCCGCTGTCCTGGGGTTCTCGGCGCTCTGGTTCCACACCTTCACCTCCACTAGGCCCCATGCGGCTCTTCTCAAACTCCTCGTGGTATTTGATCTTCAGTGCAGAAGGAAAGGGCAGGTGAATGGCTCCATTACAAGCCAACCAGTCAAGTGCCTATCATCCTAGCCACTGAGGCAGCAGGGAGGAGCTGGGAACTCAAGGCCAGCCTGAGCAACACTGTGAGCCCCTATACACACACACACACACACACACACACCCGTGAGACTCCTGGAGAACTACAGAAAGAGTACCAGCTGCCTAAGTAACTTTCCTTTCTTTCTTTCTCTTCCTTCCTTCCTTCCTTCCTTCCTTTCTTTCTTTCTTTCTTTCTTTTGGAGACAAGGTCTTACCACACAGACCAGGCTGCCCTTGAACTCATTAGATGTTCACCTGCTTCCTGGATTAGTTAACCCTCCGTAAAATGGACCATTGAATGTGGGTGTGTATGCTATGAATTACAACAATGCAATGAGATAACAGCCATGAAATCCATGCCAGCCTGGCTATGTATCTATGGTTGAGGTGACATAATGCTTGGTCTAGTATAGTATAAACAAAGCCCCATACTCTGCATCAGGCATGGTATATGCCTTTAATAGCAGCCCTTGGGAGGTAGTGACATGTAGATCTGAGTTTAGGCCAGCCTGATCTACATAGCTAGGACAGCTGGAGCTACACAGGGAAAGCCTGTCTTGAAAAAGCAAAACAAACAAAAAAATATTGATAGCCTTAACATATGCACAGCTCTTCACACCAAGGCCGTAAAAGCGACCCACATGTTAAGTCCCTACCACTGACAACAGTCACCCTAAACTACAAGCAGGGGAGTTGGCTTTCAAGTTGTCCTCTGACCTCCACAACACATACTAGTAACTCAGGATGGGAAGAAAGGCTTGGAGACTTCTATGCTCAAACTTTCACTGGGACAGAGGACAAAGTCCCAGGTAGACAGACAGACAGGCCTTCGCCTGAGAACAAGTGAGGACAGTGATTAATTGCCTTGTTGCCATTCTACCTTCTTCTGTCCCCTCAAAATGGGAGGTAACCATCGGATCACCCTCTCCTGGGGAGGACCTAGACATGCAAACAGGAAGGGGAAACATGGGGCATAATGGCTGAAAGTGAGGCCCTGTACAGGCTGGCTACTGCCCTCCACTTCCTCCCCTGCCAAATAGGGAAGCTGTGTGATTACTCCTGGCCCACCTAGTAGTCACTTAAGCAAACAGGCAAAGCAATAACCGATTGTGACTCACACGTGACTCAGATCTTATTGTTATTTCATGTGTTTTACTTGCATGTATATCTGTGCACCACATACTTGGTGCCTTCAGAGGTGAGAAGAAGGCATTGGATCCCCTGGACCTGGAGTTACAGGTGGTTATGAGTCAGCATGTGGGTGCTGAGAACCAAATTAGGTTCTCTGCAAGAGCAGTAAGCACTCCCCAAAGTTCTGATCTTTTGTTTTTAACCCTGGCTGTACTGGAACCCACTCTATTAACCAGGCTGACCTCAAACACAGACAAAGAGTCCAAATGAGGACAGGCAGGGTCCAGGGCTCCGTAGAAGGAAGCCAGGCCTCTGTACCATGAGGTCTCTGTGCATGTGGGATCAGTGACTGGGACTGAAGGACCCTTATTGGGCAGGCCTTTTAGTGTGACTAGGTAGGGTCCCCTTCAAGGCTGGCTGGCTGATGTTCTGCTTTCTGAAGCACCTGCTTCCTGACTGCGGTGGAAAAAAAGTGACTGGCCACACGTCTGTCCCCACATGATGCTGTGTCATGGCTTAGCCAGTAACATCTAACTTTAAATGGAATAACCAGCTTGCTCTTGTAAGCTTGCCCTTTTTGGGGAAGGGAAGGGTCAGGGGCTGAAGTCCTACTTTATGCCCTAACATATTATTCTTTTCCTCTTCTCACCCAGCCCAAGAATAACATTTCATTATTGTCCCCATTTCACAGATGGGGAAGCCAAGGCTGAAGAGACAGGTAGGTTAAATAGGCTACCACAGAATCTAACCTAAGAGCCTTAGTTCTCAAACACCATGTAATATGGCTTCCTATCAGAGATTCATGTCCCACCCTGCCTTAGACAGGGTTTCTCTGGGTAGCCCTGGCTACCCTGGAACTGGCTCTGTAGAGCAGGCTGGCCTGAAACTCGGAGACCCACCCGTGTCTGCCTCCCAGGTACTGGAATTAAAGGCGTGTGCCACCACCGCCTGGCTTTCTTCTTAAGTGGCACTGAAGATGGGACCCAAGATGGCATGCATGAAAGACAAGTGTTCTACTACAGCTGGACACCTCTAGTCCTTGATTTGCACAGTAAGAACAGAGCTGTTTACTGTACCTGTTACAGTATGGTTCGGTTTGCAAGGGGAAAAATGGACACAAAATTGGGGCTGGAGGTATAGACATGTGAACAAGAGACCAATGCTCTCTCAAAAGGCCTCAGCAAAAGCCATTTCTCATTCATTAAAAACAAGTGCTGAGCCGGGCAGTGGTGGCGCACACCTTTAATCCCAGCACTCAGGAGGCAGAGGCAGGTGGATCTCTGTGAGTTCAAGGCCAGCCTGGTTTACTCAGTGAGTTCTAGGACAGCCTCCAAAGCTACAGAGAAACAGTTTCAAAAACAAAACAAAACAAAACAACAAAAAAAAAAAAAAAAACAAAAAACACAAAACAAGAACAACAAAATAAATAAAAGCAAAGGCTGGAGAGATGGCTCAACAGTTCAGTGCACTGGTTGCTCTTCCAGAGGACTCAATTCCCAACACCCACATGGCAACTCACACCTGTAACTCTAAGATCTGACACCCTCACACAGGCAAAACACCAATGCACACAAAATAAGAATAAGAATAAATTGTTTTTAAAAAATAAATAAAAAGTCCTCAGCGATTTGGAGCACACACAGCACACAGCACAGTGCCAAGGCACACCTCCAGGGAGACCAGAGTTATGAGACTGATGTCTGTTCTCACAGTGTAGAGAGCCTAGCTCTGCCTCCGGACACCACTGACAATGCTCATCACTGACCACATACCTGCTTTTCCCCACTGCAGTCACATGACTACTCTTACTTCACAGGAGTAAACTGAGGCTCACAGCCGCCCAGCAGCTAGCTGGAAAGACGGAAAGACAGGAGCCCCCATTCCAGCCAGCATGCCTGTGTCTCCCTCACCATCTTGCCTTACACAGGGCCGAGGACAAACCACACATCTCCAAGCGAACATCACCATCCCAGTAGAACAGACACTTGGTTTTCAACTGCTCTGGCTGGTGAAACCAGGCTCCATTTCTATAGGACAGTCTGGCCTTCAGAAATGGCCACCTGTCATTAGGCGCTAATCTAGGGAAGGACAGGCCACACACAGGGATGCTATTTTGGAACCAAAATACAGTGTGGCTCTGAACAGCAGCCTTCTTAGAGCTATGCTGGAGGCTGGCACCGCTTAGCTATAGCTCTGCCTGTGGTTTAAAGTTCCCTCAGAGTTCTGGGACACAGCCAGGTTTGTAGACCTCTGACTGAGGGGCTGGCCAAACCTTTTGAGTTTAAGCGATAACTTTCACTCAGTATGGACCACAGTAAGCCAGGGGATGCGTTTACAATGCTGAATCTCAGGCTCCAGTCCAGGGGTGCTAAACTGGAATGCTGGGGAAACAGAGGGCCTCCACGTTCACTAAATGCCCTACGATCGCAAGTGACCCTTTGTGTGTGGGGGGAAAACTGAACCCACAGGTCCTTGAGCATGCTAAGCACTCTACCACCAAGCTATAGCCCAGCTGACTGGGGGGGGGGGGGGGGACTCTGACAGAGACAGACTAATCACATTCATGAAAACCAGGGGAAAGACTTTCAGTCACACTTCACAGCTCCCAGCTCAGGCTCTGTCTGGTTGCTCTGGAAGCCCAAGTCAGGTTCAAGGCACTTCCCCCAGCTCAGAACCAGGACAATCAGCTAATTGCAGCCTCCAAGGTGGCTGATAAGATGCTATCTCTAGTGTGGATTTCTTAGCCACAGCCAGATTTTGTTACCAGAACTCCTCAGGCATTAATGCATCCAATGTTCAATGACAGGTTGCAGGAAGGCAGGTGAAACAGACTGGGTGTTAGAACATTCTGGAAACCTTCCAGAAAGTGACACTGGTCTCCTGTGAGTCTCCAAACTCACAGGGTAAATCAATGAATGGACGTCCCAGAGGGTGGCACACTGGTGGTGTCGCAAGACACAAAGGCACATGATTGGAGCTCTGTGAGCCATTCCATGGTTTCCCAACCACCCAAGGCCACACCACTTCCCTTCTCTCCATCTAGGGAACTCTTTGACACACCCTTTTACCCTTTGTGTGGTCTGAGCCAAAAAGGAAACTGTAGGGTGTGTGAGTCAGGCCCAGGCTGGAAGAGGGCAACTATAAGGTTTCCTGGGGGCCCGATGGGGTTTGAAGCTTCTGAAGATCACCCTCCATTCCAGGAGAAGCAGTGCATTTCCTCAGACTGTTCATTTTAAACTTCAGCTCAATGATTGGGTTGCAAAAACCGCTTGGTTAGACAGACTGTCCCTGGCGCTTTTTATGAAATAAGAACAGAGAATATCTGAGCTCTCCAAGTCCAAAGTACATATGACAGTGGCTCCCTTCTTTCCTCTTTTTGGTGCTGAGGAGGGCTCTCTAAGCCCGGTGCATGCTGGATGAATGCTCTACTGAGAAACTACATCGTTAGTCCTCCTTTAAGAGGTTTTCTTTTTTTCACACGGGCCCTCATTATAGAGCCAGGAATGGCTTCAACCTCTTGATCTTTGCCTCAACCTTCAGAGTGGCTTTCAATCCACGACTCTCCTGCCTCAGCCTCCCAAGAGCAGAAATGTACCACTAAAGAAATGTTTCTTCTAGACAGAGGGCAGAAAATTTGAAAGCTATTCCTCTAGGCAGGGTGGTTCCATCTCCGCCCTATGTTTATGGAATCTACATAACCATCCACTATAACTCACAGTGGCACAGTCCAGCTAGCTTATGAGACAGGCAGGGTGGTGAGGGATGTGGAACCTGGAGGGTGGGGACTTAGGTGGGTCATCTGAATCTAGACCCTATCCTATCCACTCCATCCCCAGTCCCTCAGCCCACAGTGACACAGGCAACTGTTACGGACACAAGGACAGTGCCTGCCTCAACCTTCATTTACAGGAGTCTTGTTGCAGCTAACGGGGCATGTTCTAATGCTCTATGCTCAGGCGTGTGCCCATGTTCTGTGATGTCACTCACAGAAGCACCCTACTCCCAGATATTCCAAATCAGGCCCCTGCAAGCCCAGAGCCACACAAGCTGCTAGTCTATGGCTGTGCAAAGAAGGAAACTGAGGTTTGTTCTCTAGCCCCAACGGCTCTAAAGGACCACACAGAGGCTGTCACTTCATTTCCCACTCACCTAACAGCTAGATACCTAACACCCAACAGAAATGATGGCCAGCCCCAGCTCTGGCCTGAAAAGGCCTGGAGGGGGTGCAGGGCCGGCAGGCCCCGCCAGCTGGGTTTTCACACAGGAAGGAAGAGCAAGCTGAGGTGGGAGGCTGGCGAGGGAGGGCGGAAATGACTGACGCGTTAGCACCCAGAGGCAGACAGGAGGCTCAACCCCCCAACCCCAGCTTTGACCCTGGCGATAAAACAAGCATCTAATCTGCACTCTGTCCCCCTCCACCATGCCAGGGGGATAAGGACGGCCTGCTCTAGAGAGTGGGAGGTAACTTAATATCCCCAGGAACACAACACACACACACACACACACACACACACACACACACACTCTAAAAGGGCAGTCTCTTTAAGAAGGAAATGCCACTTGGGCAGAATGCCTAGCAAAGAGGGGGAACAAAGAAAAGGCACTTGGGAGCCTCAGCTTTTCCCTTCCCTCTATTCAAGCCACTATCACACTGCAGGCTCTCCTGAGGAGCCCAGGCAGGGCTGCTAGGGATCGGATGAGAGAGGAGTGCATGCGTAGCTTGGATAACGGGGCAGGAGCTCACATTGCTGATCTGGTCCTGGGTCTTCTTGATTCTCTGCAGCTCAGGTGTGTCTGCCACCACGCTGAAGCCTTTACCCTTGTTCTTCTCAAACTCCTCCTTGTAGCGCACCTGGAGGCCAAGAGGGAAGAGTAGAGTCTGGGGTCAGGTGGAAGGTGAGGATAGGCATGCCTGGCCTGAGGCCCCTGGCCAGAAACCCCCATTTAAGCAGAAGCCTGAGCTGAAATGTGTCAGAGCAATCTTAACCCCATTAATAATCACATAGAAGGTTCGGAGGGGAGGCCACACATTGAATGCCCATTGAAGAGGCAACACCTTGGGACTAGAGCGATGCCTCAGTAGTTATGAGTACGAGCTGCTCTTCCAGAGAACTGCAGTGAACACTTAAACCCCAAAATAAATAAAATAAAGATGAAGATGGAGACACTTCTGCTCAGAGTCCTAACATCAGAACATGCTGACACCAGAAGATAGCATCAGCTGGGCATGGTGCTGCATGCCTCTAATCCCAGAACTTGGGAGGCAGAGGCAGGCAGACCTCTGTGAGTTCAAGGCCAGCCTGAAGCTAGCACCTGGGTGTAACCAGTAAAGCCCTGGGAATCAGAGGACTGCAGCACCCAGAAGCAGTGGCCCAAGTCTACTGAGATGAGCTCCAGACAGCTCAGCGGACTGTGTTCTCCAACGTACCGCAATGCACAGCAGTCATGACCCTTTCTAATGAATGGGTTTCCCACCAGGATCCCATGCCTTTGCCTGGCTATGACTTTGGTGACCACTGAGTGGCAGGCATCCTGGTTAACCTAAGTATAACTAAGGCCATGAGCAGCTAGCCTCCACCCACCCACCGTCCTTTCCTTCCCCAGCAATGGACAGGGGAGCCTGCTGTGCACCGGACTTGCAACCTGCTGATGCCAACTCTACCCACTGTCTGTGAGTAGATACCCAGGCATCCATGGCATCAACTTAGAGCTAGGTTGTTAGATTCATCTGCTGTGAGTTATTTACTTTCCCTAAAGTAACAATAAACCATACCGCAGCAGACTGCCTCTCTGTGACATGTGACCCAAGTCCAGTTCCTAACACCCATGTGGCAACTCACAACCATCTGTAACTCCAGCTCCAGGGTGTCCAAGGCCCTCTTCTACTCCCTGAGAGTATGGGGCACACACATGCTACACAATATCAGGCAAAACACCCATACACATAAAATAATACCCTTTTGTTTGTTTGTTTCTGTGTAGCCCTGGCTGTCCTGGAAGTCACTATGTAGACCAGGCTGGCCTCAAACTCACATAGATCTGCCTGCCTCTGCCTCTGGAGAGCTGGGATTAAAGGTGTGCCCCACCACTGTCCACCAATACATTTCTTCCTTTTTTCTCTCTCTCTTCCTCCCTCCCTTCCTTTTTTTAATAAAAAAGATCACTTCTCCTGCCTGAGGTCACATGGTTTAGCAGCAAATGTCCTGAGGCGCCAGGATGCCAGACTCCTACACTCCTCCTGCCTACGGCTATAAGAAGTCCTTGCCAAATCTGAGGAGTCAGTAGCCAGCATCCCAGCCAGAACATGGCAGGACCCACCTAGAGCGCGGGGGAGTTTTTAAGCAACCAGCTGAACAGGGTCTGTGCCAAAGGACAAAGGCGCTGCCCAGGAGAGCAGTAACCCATCACTGAGTCTTTGACAAGCCAGAACGGCTTCCTGAAGCCTGCCAAGCTGGAAACAATAATTATAGGATGGGGGAGGGCTGGACAGGCAGAACCTCGGGACAGTGGTTGGAGCCTTGGGGAAAGACCCACCACACCACTGCTGCCCCCTCTCAAGAACTCTATGGAAAACGAGAGGCACTCGGGATGCACTAGAGAAAGGACTTCCCCGGCACAAAATGAACTGCAATCTGAGGAACAGCTTGTCCTTCCCCGGGGATTTTAGAAACTAGAACAGAGGCTGGGAAATATTTGCAGGGTAGAGAACTACTCCTTGGCTTTGGATGTCTACTTTCTACCTCAGTTTCTGTTCCATGCCTCAACAGCTGCCTGGATTTCCTCTACAGTAGCTGCACTATCTCGAAAAGGGTCAGCCCAGGACATAGGGGCCAGGATGTTGGGAGTTTCCAGGAAGGCCAGGCAGCTCCCAGGCCTGGAGTCAGTGGTCACATGTTGAGCTACCACACTGAGGACTCACAGCTTGTGAGCACTGTCAGGATCACCATTTAGGTGATCCCTTGATGCAGATAAAAAGAAAGGCCTAAACCGGTTTGGTAGCTCAGGCCTGTAATCCAGCATTCAACGGGCTAGATTAGGCTCTGGCTACATAGCAAGACCAAATAGATCTGGCAGTTTGAATGCAGGTGGTTCAAACAAGGATGTGGACCTGGGCTGACACAGGCTTGTGAAAAATGCCTGAAGCTACAGGAGAAAGGTTTAGGCCCAGCCACCCAGAGGGACATTAGATGGATACCAACATCCACCCTCCTGGGAAGGCCTGAAACAGCACATGACTATGAGAAGGTCCTCCAGAAAGGAGACATCAAGAAAGAGAAGAAAAATTGAGACAGCAGAAACCCACAAGGATCCTACCATGCCGCTGATTCCTGTAAAAGGAGCCATCACAGACATTAGTTAGAACATGAGAAAAGCCGGAGAAGGTAACACATGTCTATAATCACTAAGCTCACAAGGTAGATGAAGTAAGATTTCAAGGGCAATCTGGGGTGTGTGTGTGTGTGTGTGTGCGCGCGCGCGCGCGCGTGTGTAGATATAACAATAAAGATATAACAAAGCAAGTTAGCAAGTTTGAAGCCACTCTGGGCTATATGAGACCCTACTTCAAAATATGCTTATACAAGCAAGTGTGTGTGTGCTCGAGTTCGTGCATGCACACATGAGCACAAGCTGGGCATGGTGATGCACGCACGTAATATTATGACTAGAAGCAGAGGCAGGAAGATGATGAGTTTGAGGCCAGTCCAGTTTATACAGTGAGATCACATTCTCTCTCCTTCATGTCAAAAGATAGGAGACTTCACATCACTAAATATGGGCCCAGAACCAGGAGTTTGGACTCATAGGCCCAATCTCCAACCAGCTTTGTAATCTTGGACCAGTGACTTAACTGTTGAAGCCTCGGGTTCCACATCTGTAAAATGGGAAATCAACGGTGGCGCCAGCACTGAAGGAGAAGGGCTGAGTCGCACACCACGTGAGGGCAACTGTGCAAGCGCTTTGTCAACGTGCTGAGCCAATGCCAAGCCCCCTCCTGCCTGTTTCCTTGCTCGGCAAGGGTCAGGCCCCTAATCCAGGGAACCATCACCATGGCAACACCCCAATGACATCAACTGGTTCCCAGGCTTAGGAACTGCCTTTCCTCCTCACTGGAAGGATCATCCATTTCACCCTAGTGTGGGAGGCAGAGAAGGCAGGATAGGAGGCGGCAGGGAAGCCTGGGTACCACACAGGGTAACTACAGGTTATTTACTTTTGCTTTATGTGTATTGGTGTTTTGCCATGGTATCATGTCTCCAGGTACTGGAGTTACAGACAGTTGTGAGCTGCCATGTGGGTGCTGAGAACTGAACCCAGGTCCTCTGGATAAGCAGCCAGTGTTCTTAACTACTGAGCCATCTCCCCAGCCCACCAAGTCCCCTGGTGAGGCTGGGGTGCAGGAAGGAAAGCTGGCTAGCTAGTCTCTAAAGATCCGCTCATCTGGAGCCTATGACCCTATCTAAGCATCTTTTGTCTTTAACAGAATAGAGGTGAGGAAAGTTCTGAGAGCTTTTTATTGCTAACGGGGGGTGGTCAGTAGACCCTCGCTGAGACTTTCCCTTCACCCATGCAAGAATGCCTGCATTTGTCTGGATGACTCACCAGCTATGGCAGGGTAGCAGTGGGGACAGAGCCTGCCAGGTCACTCAACCCAGCTGTCAGTTTGGCTACAATGGAGCCTGAACTTTGGCCAGATGTCTCCATCCCTGCTGGGTGCTGCCAGGGCCTCCCTCTCTGAAAATTCCCACAGCAGCATAGGGATTGACAGCCAGGCAGCCGGTATCCATGAAGATCTACCTTTCTTAGGTAGGTTTGATTACCCTCTCATTTATACCAGCTAAAAGCTGGTATGTAGCAGCATGTGCTGGATAAGTAAGAAATGAATTGAATACAGATACATCATCTGTCATGGTCTAGCATATGAAGCCAGGCCTAGTAGCACACTGTAATCCTAGTTACATAGCAAGACATCGTCTCTCAAAAAAAAAAAAAAAAAAAAAAAAAAAAAAAAAAAAAAAAAGAAAAGAAAAGAAAAAGAAAAGAGCTGTCTCAGGCAGAGGCAAGCAGTTCTCTCTGAGTTTCAGGGGCTCTAGGGCAAGTCCTAGGCCAGCCAGGGGTATATAGTGAGACTGTCTCAATAAACAGAAACAAACATTACTTTCTGTAATGCAATGACCTCATTTTGGTGTTGGGCCCACACTGTGTAACCCATTCCCTTCTAACAAAAAAATCAACTGGATTTTATTTCCATCAGACCCACAGATGAGATTAGCTACTGAAAGATTGGGGCTAGGGGTGGGGTGGGGGGGTCACAGTCATTGCATCCATTTCCTCTCCCTTCATAGAGAACAGCAAAAGGAAACATTTATCCAGCCCTGGCACCATGCCAAGAATGGCAAACACCTAATACATACTAACATCCCCACAGCCAACCCGGGGGAGATGACCCCACTTTACACATGGAGGCGGTTAAGTAACTAGCCCCAAGCTGTAGCTAGTGGTAGTAATCTAAGATTCAACCTTAGGCTGCTGACTCTGATAAAAACGAGGTAAGGTCTCAGTGTACTGCCTAGGCTTGCCAGTCCTGAGTGTGCACCTCCACACCACTATTAACAGAGCTTTTTTCTTTTTCTTCTTTGGTTTTCTCTGTGGCTTTGGAGGCTGTCCTGGAACTAGCTCTTGTAGACCAAGCTGGTTTTGAAGTCAGAGATCCACCTGCCTCTGCCTCCCGAGTGCTGGGATTAAAGGCATAACATGTACATGTATGCGTGTGTGCGTGCGTGCGTGCGTGCGTGCGTGTGTGTGTGTGTGTGTGTGTGTGTGTGTGTGTGTGTGTGTGTGTGTGTCTGTGCCCAGCATAACCTCAGAGATGCTTCCTTAGGGATACACCCTCCTCCTTTGAGACAGGGTTTCTCATAGGCCTGGGGCTCACCAATCAGGGCAGAGCTCCAGGAATCTTCTGGTCTGTGCCTCCCTACTGAGGGATTACAAACAGGAACTACTCTGACTTTTTTTTCCCACCTGAGGGGGTAAGAACTTCTCCCTAGTTCTTTGTGTTCAGGGTTACAAGGTAAGTGCTGCCACGCGCAGTAAGAGTGACACTCTTCCGTGCATGCAGCTGTTGTGCTGGTCATGGGATCCAAGACGAAATAAGAACCTGCCCCAAGATGAGTGGTGGAAAGGCACTGGACACTTCCCTCCCCTCAAGGGCATTTCCTGAAACACTCTATGAAGGAAGAAAAACCAGGCGCTCCAGCTCTGCTGCCTGGGGAGGCCTGTACTCCAGGCACACTCGCCCCCCCAGCCCCATCCCAAAGCTGCTGCCCCCATTTGGTGGGGTGCAAGGAGAAGGGGACCTGGGGGCAACCACTCACAATGTCATTTCTGGGTAGTTCTGAGGTAGGGAGGTCACAGATGTCCCAAACACCTGAAGTGCCACTTTGGGAACCAATACAGGAGTGGGGAAACAAAGTTGAAATGGCCCCGGCCAGGAAGAAGCCAGCCCTGGAAGGAGCCCACGCCTCCCTGCTGGGGTGGGACAGGGAAGGGGGAGAAGGCTCCCACTTTCCTTCCAGCCAGCCGCACAAAGCTCTAAGTAGCCCTGCCCCCACAGCAGCCACAGGCCTATCACCAGGCCAGCCGTGCAGTCCCTCCCAGCCTCATACCAGGCCCTGCCCCCAGCTTCTAGGAAAACCCATTTCACTCCTCACAGAGGAGGGGAGGAAAAAAAATAAAACTATGAAGGGGGGAACCTCAGACAGCACAGATGGTAAGTAGGACGTGGGAGAGACTGCAAAGGGGGGCAGGCTCTTTCGGCATCATCCCCCAGGTCCCCAGATCCAGGAGTGGAGCTGTGTCCCCAGTGCAGAAGGTCAACTCCTCACCTCCCATCCTGTTGACTGACACAGACCCTCCAGTGTGATACCACCTCAAAGCTCTACCTGGCTCTCATCTATTCAGCAGCCCAGCCCAGCAAGCCTCCAAAGCACATAACCAGTAATCCCAAACTTTAGGAGGCTCAGTCTGAGGCCAGCCCGGGTTAGCTGCCTGTAAACTGGTGCGATGGGCAGTCAGCCTTATAGCCCTATAGCCTGACCAGCTAAGCTCAAAGTCTGCCTGCCTTGGAGTCCTGGGCAAGTGGTATTGAGAGACTAGGAGTTAGATTTCCCCAGTAGGCAATCAGAGAGGGAGAAGAGGCTGTGGCTAGATAATAAAGATGTATCAGCGTGGCCTCCCCAAACCTCAGAGACCCCCTCCTACATAATCAATCCATCCACCTGCCTCTGCCTCTGCCTCCTGAGTGCTGGGATTAAAGGTGTATGCCACCAATGGCTGGCTAAGGAATGATCACTTCTTAGGCTAGGAGCAGCAGCTCACACCTAAAAATCTCAGCACCCAGGAGGCTGAGGCAGGAGAATTCCAGCCTGGACTATATAGGGAACTCCAGAGTAGCTAAGCATAGACTAAGACCCTGGCTCCAAAAAAAGAGGGGAAAAAAAAAAAAAAAACCCATAACGAAAGAGGGAGCCCCTCCCCCAGCGGGGGCTCTTCCCTACCTTTCTGACAATATGGTTGTGAAGACTGATGAATACAGACATATATATGTGTGTGCAGGACCTGTCCTTTACAAAAAACATAAAAGAATGATGGCTGGCCGGCCGAGTGTTGGTGGTGCACACCTTTAGTCCCAGCACTCGGGAGGCAGAGGCAGGTGGATCTTTGTGAGTTTGAGTCCAACCTGGTCTACAGAGCTAGTTCTAGGACAGGCTCCAAAGCTACAGAGAAACCCTGTCTTGAAAAACTAAAAAAAGAATGATAGCTGTTCCTACATACCCCACCTACTGGAGTCCATCAGGCCCCTGACAACCTAGGAACCTCCAAATCTGTGCGTGGGGAGCAGAACAGCCCTCCCAACAGCAACCCCAGTCCTAGTGCACATACAAAGGCAGAGGTCAGGAAGGGCAGAGCTGGCAGGCTCCTGATATTGGCCCCACCCCTATAGGGGTCAGATTCCAGAAGCAAAGGTACTGAGGGTGAATTCTCATGGGCTGGAAAGGGCAAGGGTATTGAATTTCTCCTTAGAGGATATAGAAAGAAAAATAAGTTCTGTTGCCTAAATCAGGCACCTGATTCTCTGACAGCTGTCCTTGCTTGCTAGAGGCAGTGGGAGTCTAAGCTCTGCCATTTCCCCTAGAGAGGCTAAGGGACAAGCAGCTGTCTGTACTGTGCAAGACACTGGAAGGCTACATATACTCAAGGCACCACACTTGTGTGCGTGAGGGAAAAGACCAGGGCTCAGACCCTATAACCTGGCTCAATGTGGCCTGGAACTCTGAGACACACTTTCCATGCAAGGACAGGAAGGAGCTCTCTTCCACCTACCCCCTACCCCTGGCGTTGCATCAAGGACAAGAAAGGAGAAGTTACTACATCGCTTATTAGGTTTCACCAGTTCTCAGCAGCAGCAGGGACTAATTTGTGTAGGGTTTTTGTTTTGTTTTGTTTTTGAGACAGGGTTTCTCTGTAGTTTTGGAGACCAGGCTGGCTTTGAACTCAGTTTGTTTCTGCCTCCCAAGTGCTGGGACTAAAGGCGTTCGCTGCTACCACCACCACCAGGGTATTTTGTGTTTTTTTTTTTTTTTTTTTTTTTTTTTTTTTTTTTAAGAGGGAAAAGACTACTTCCCTTCAGGTAGTAGATAAAAACTGTAAAGCCACCAGGTGTGGTGCAACCTACAATCCAGGTACTTGGGAGATAGAGATAGAAGGATAAGTTCAATGTCATTCTTTTCTCTTCTAAGATTTTTTTTTTTAATTTATTTACTTTTATTTCATGTGCATTAGTGTTTTGCCATGGGCGTCGGGTTCCCTGGAACTGGAGTTACAAACAATTGTGAGTGGCCATGTGAGTGTTGAGAATTGAACCCCAGGTCCATCTGGAAGAGCAGTCAGAGCTCGTAACCACTGAGCCATCTCTCCAGCCCCCTCCTAAGATATTTTTGTTTGTTTTTGCTTTTTTTTTTTTTTCCAAGACAGTGTTTCTCTGTGTAGCCCTGGCTGTCCTGGAACTCACTTTGTAGACAAAGCTGGCCTCGAACTCATGGAGATCCGCCTGCCTCTGCAACTAAGAGTGTGCCACCAATGTCCAGCTAAGATTTTTTTTTTAATGTTCGATTGTATGTAGGTGTATGTGTCTCCATGTGGCTTTAAGCATGTGACCGAAGATGCCCGTGGAGGCCAGAGGCTTCAGATTCCAGAGAGCCAGAGTTACAAAGGTGGTGATGCTTTGGGTTCTGAGCTGTCTTTCCAGCCCCAGGGCAATTTTTTAAAGGGCTATGTGACATTATCATCTCAAAACAACAACAACCAGAACACACAAACAACAACACAAATCTACTCGAAACAGCCCTGCAAGGGACGCCTCACTTCTCATGGATGACGAGTGAGTCCTTGTGGCCCAGCTGGCACTACCCTGGGCACCTCGCCAACCCAGTAAATTCCCCTACTTGTATTCTCATTTAATCTTTTAATCCTTGCCAGGCCAGGCTGGTTCAAGGCAGAGTGCGTTAATAAGGGCTCAGGGCTTCAGACCACCTAGCTCGGCGTGGCTCAGTATCCCTGAAGGACAGTGTTCTCCGAGGCAGGGCAGAGGGTGTCTCCTCTACTGCCATTGCCTGTGACACTCAGGAAGTCAGGCTAAAGAGACGGGAGGACTGACCCCCCCCTCACACTGCCCTCTCTCCAAGGGGAGCAAAAGGTCTCAGGACCTAGTTACAGAGGATAGGCTGCGAGACCCAGACTGGCAAGCTGCTGGCTGCCTCCAAGCGCTTCCTTCTGTGCCAGGTATGAATGCAGTGGCAGGCAGAGGACAGCTTCCTGGAGAAGGCAGGTTCCAGGAGCTCCAGCAGGGTCAAACAGATGCCCACCCCTCTCCAACCAACTTCAGATAGGTAGGCAGTAGTATCTCTCCCCCTCCCCATCAAGTCAGGAAGTGTGAGGTAACTGAGGAAAGGTGGGCGTGGGGAGACAGACCAGCCTGGGATTTCAGCATCTCAGCCCTCAGAGACCACAGGTGCCCTTGCCCAATCCACTTCCACCAGCCAGAGCGCCCGCCCCTCACCTGACTCTGCAGCTCACTCTGTTGCTTGAGGCGGAGGTTTTCCGGAGTGTCAGCCACCATGGTGAAGGACTGCTTGGGGTAGTGTCTGCCGGACAGAAAGAAGATGGGGCATCACTCTGGGGAAGGGAGGAGAACCCTGGGCTTCTCTGTTGTTAAGACAGCCCCAACCCACTTGTCAGGGCTGAAGGGAGTCAGGAACCTCCAGGCACAGCCTGGGCTAGCTGAGGAGGCAAGACACAGCAGGCCTGAGGGCTGCCTGGCAGAACTGTCCAGGGCCACGGGGAGGCTTCTGAAGGTTTCCGATTACCCTTGTTTCAGATAATCCCAGAGTCTCCCAGAGGATCCCAGGGCCAGGCTACCTGGGAGGACCTAGTCGGCTGTGCAGACGGCACAGAATCAGAACTGAAACTAGCAATGAAAACCAAGCACACAGGGGCAGAGAAGACCCAAGGCTGAAAGAAAAATAAATAGCAGATACCAGAAGGTTCCCTGTCAAAAGTAGTCAACTAAGAGAATATGTGAGTCAGGCGGTGGCGGCACACGCCTTTAATCCCAGCACTCAGGAGGCAAAGGCAGGTGGGTCTCGAGTTCGAGGCCAGTCTGGTCTACAGAGGAAGTTAGTTACAGGTCAGCCGGGGATACCCAGAGAAATTTTGTCTTGAAAACCAAAGAGGGAGAAGTATGGGTCCAACAAGGTGTTAAGGGGCTAACAAGGTCCAAATACAGGGCAGGTGGCTAGTCACCTTCCAGTGACAGGTAACAGCAGTTAGTGTTGTCCTGTGACTTAGTTTACCAAACTTTTGTAGTGTCGTCACTGTTTTCCTTTGATAGACACAGCAGAGGCTAGAGAGGCTGAACAGTACAATCTAAACACTCAGAAAGAGTCAAAATTCTGACCCCTAGAAAACGCTGCTGCAGGTGGCCCAGAACCCTGCCTGCGAGGACCTGAAAGATAATGCCCTTATTGACAGAGAGGTAAACTGTGCTGGTACTAGCTTTTGTCACTCAGCAGTCACTGAGCTCATATATTCCTCACATCGCCACTCTCTTCACCATGAGGGGAGAAAACAGTTGTTTTTGATCGCTTGTTTATTGATTTATACAAGCTTCCAGAACAGCGGTTGAAGCACAGCAAATACTTGAGTAAACAAACATCACAGCAGGTGTTGAAGTCGGGGCTCGGCTCGGACAAGAGGACTCTTCCACCACCTGTGTCACCACGAGGCCAGGCCGGTCCTCAGGAAAACCAGCCCCGGTCTGTGTCTAAGTGCTGGAAATCTCAGGGACAGTGAGGGGCTTCTCCAAGCAAGAATTGTATTGAAAAGTCTTGACTTGGCTGTGTTTAGCTCTGGGTGACTGCATCTATCACAGCTGTGACTATTACAGACCCCCTGACTCACAGGGAGCCAGGCACCATGTAAGAAGAGACAGATGGCCCCTTATGGCTTTTTTCTAGGTATGACCCACCCAGGATGGTTGACATGTCCACAGCAGGTCACGAACTACCACCACATGCTTGTATGATTTAGCCAAACCCAGCATATTCTCCAGCCACCTGTACCAACATGTGATATCCCTCCCTCCGGGCTACCTTGGGCAGCGAGGACAACCAAAGAAGGTGTGGCTAGAAGGGACCCAGTGATGGGCTCTGTTTCTAGGTGACCATCTTCATCCCCTTGCTCATGTCACTGTCCTAAGCCTAGGCGATGCCTATTTGGATTCTGGTCATCACAGTTAGCCACATAAAGAGCTCCCCCAGGAAAAGGGGGGAGCTAGATGGGAAAAGCAAACACAGGTGCCTGCAGCTGGCAGCAGGAATGGCCTTGGATGAAGGCAGGCAAAGACAAGGTCCCACCCCCAGGTCTGGCCCAGTGCCCTGCAGCCAGGCCACCCACAGCTCAGGAGCCCATCCAAAAATTCCTGCTCCTGTTCGGGGCCAGGGAGGATCAAGCGGGACTCTGTTCCCAGAGACAAGAAATGAACAGAAGGAATAGAAGATGTCTATGAGAACTGGTTGGTACTGAGACCCTGGGAGGTAAGACTTCAGAAGGGATCCTCCACACAAACCGGACCCACTCTGAAGGGAAGTGGGAGACAAACCAGAGTGAGCCAGGCATCGGTCAGTGAAGATGTACACACTAGAAGTAGGGGATCCAGGATCCAGGCAGCTCTGGCCAGGTGTGAAGGGTCAAGTCTGATAAGCAGCCAGCATTGTGTTAGACAGGGTGGAGGCAGCCTGGAGAGCGGAACTCTCCAGAAGGCAGGAACTCAACAAGCACACATCCACAGAAGCTGATCCACAAACCCTGGCCTTATGTACAGACTTAAAAGCACAAAGGCATCTCCATTGGCCCAGGGATAACCAGACACGTGCAGACAGCCACACCCTCTCTCTAGTTCTGCAGCTCCTGTAGTACACACACAGCATCTGCCTGCGTGTGAGTAACATATAGGTGTGTCCTCCAAATTGGCAAGCATTTCCTGAACACGGAGCTGACAGCTATGCCCCCCCCATTCACAAACCTCCTCCACTCACCCTGTCCCTCTGCTACACCCTATACCCCATCAGAAGATCCCAGGCGCCCCTCCAACATGCACCAAATGCTTCACTTCAGATGGGATTGGGGGTACTTCATCATCTCTTTGTGACCATCATGGTCTTCTCCACCCCCTAGAACAGGGGGAGGGAGCCTAGATATGGACTCCAGAGGGCTAGGGATGAGGGAGGAATTTAATCCTATATCAGTTTTTGTAGATTAAGGAGCTCCAGACACTGTGGAGCCCTGCTACACCCAACCCCAGGCAGAGGAAGGGCTCCACTGCATCCCTCCTGATGGGTCAGCCCGGTCCCCTCCCCACAGCCCCCAACCCTGAGTGAGACAACCCTGCCTTTCCCTTCTCCTGCTAGCTGATGTGCTTCAGGTTCCCATGGCAACCTCATCCTCAGCTCCAGGCAGGAGAGCAGAGAAAGGGAGAGAGGAAGGAGGGAGGTCTATGGGGTATGGGGGCAGGGGAAGCAGACTACAAGAGTATCCTTAACCAAGAAGAAGCCCAAGGGGCCTGGGCTGGTTTCTTGTAGACAGCTGTGCTCAGGTTTGTTTCTAGAAGGCAGGACACCAGAGTCCCGGTGCCGCACCCCTCCCCCAACACGGTGGTCTCTGAAGAGGACTCCGAGTGATCGCCAGGAACATTGCTACGAATTCTGCTTTTCTCCTCCCTCTTAGACCCCAGGTTGATGCCACCTTTCACCTTCAGATTTAGGGGGTGGGGCGGGGGAGGGGAAGGAACACACCAGTGTGGACTCAGAAACAGCTAAGACCACAAAACCACACATGCCAGGCAGACCTTCAGGCCACAGAAACAAAATGAGAGATGATATGAGCTCAGGCCACAGCTCAGCTGCTCTTTGTCCCTTCCTGGGCCAGCCCCTTATTAATCATTCCCAGAGAGTGCGGTGCCTTCCACAGAGGTCTCGCTACAGACCTGTCTTTGCCTATGATAGCTCCAACAGGAAGCAGGGGGTGAGGGTGGGGGCATAGATAGGCCAATAGGACAGGAAGCTGGATGGGGAGGGACAGGCTACCTGCAGTCCAGGAAGGCAGGCGACAACAGGAAAAGCCTGTGGTAGCCAGAAGGTAGGCAGGGAGCTAGGCAGCTGCTGCTGGGAGGGGGGTGACACACTATGACACCACAGGCTCAGAGTTCCCAACTCCTTCACAATCTGTCAGGTGTACAGCCTCTCCCCAAATACCCGACAAGGCTGGAAGAGGCAGGCATCACCTGGATCCCGATTTTGCATACAGAGAAACTGAGGCTTGGAGTCAAGAATAGAGACTTTGAGTGGCATACAGTCCTCTGTCCCACATCTGCCTGGCCAGCTGAAGGGCACGAAGACCTGTTAGGGCAGATGGCCCTAGTCCCGCTGCAGCTCCCAGAGGTCTGTGAAAAGCTCAACTGGCAGGGTGACAGCCAAACGAAGTGCTTCATCCTTCAAGCCCATTCCCCAGTCTGACCTCTAAAACCCTTGAGAGGACAAAGACCTAAGGGATGAGGAGACATGGTCTCCATCTCAGGCAATGAGCTACACACCTGAGGACCTAACATACTGTTCCGTGGTGGGAGCCCACTGTGAAGCTGATCCTAGATGACAGGGAGTGTGGGGGACAGTGTGAGCAGGACTTGTATCCAGAGGGTCAACAAGGACAGGCCACAGATTCTGAGCGCCTAGCTCCCCATTTCTTCAGGGAACATCATTCCTTCCAGGCTGGGACCTCTTTAAAAAAAAGACAAAAAACAAAAAAACAAAAACAAAAACACAGCTTTGTGTTCAAAGCAGAGTAAAAATACATCAGCAAAATACAAGGAACCTTTGGGTTTTAGCAAAAGGAAGGGGAGAAGAAAAAAGCCCTAACATCTGGCCTCTGGTTAGAGTTCTGGATTCCCCAAAGGCCCTGCTGGGAACGAACACACACACACACACACACACACACACACACACACACACACACACACACACACGGAAGGAGGGAGGGAGGAAAGGAGGGAGGGAGGAAAGGAGGGAGGGAGGAAAGGAGGGAGGCAGGCTCCATTAGTCCTGATTCTTACCAGCCCCCTTCCAGGCCTCCAGGACTAAAGTGTTAGGGATAGGAAGAAAACAAGGAGGCATTGTTTGACCAGAGGGACAAAAATGAGCAATCCAAAAGATTAAGGGTAGACTGGAGAAAGAACTTACCAGTCTTTAGGCTTTGCAGACAAAATGAAAAGTTGCATCCTTTTAATTCTTTTTTGTTTGTTTGTTTGCTTTCATTCACTAACAACTTTATAAACAATGTCCACACTTTTTCCCTATTGTTAATATTTAAGGAGAAAAATTTGCCCAGCTAAATAAGGCATGGAAATATTGGGCCTCAAATTCCTTATCAACAAAAATGGAGCTTTGAGAGAGAAAGTGACCCCTAAGATCCTTGAGGCTCTGACATGTCCACATGCAGGGTTATGGGGTGAAGGAGGCAGGTGAGGTACTTGATGGCTGTATCTGACACTCTGGCTCGGGGTTTTTGCTGGCCTCCTTCACTCCAAATATAACACACACAACACACACACGCACCACACACACACACCACACACACACACACACACACACACACACACATACTTCACCACCATGTTGCTCCCAGCTCCTAACACATTTGATTCAATTTTCCCAGTAAGAAGCAGAGAATGGCCTGAGATGCCTCAAATGCCCCCCACCACAGGACTGTGGCAAGGCCAACCAGATCTGCATACAAAGCAAGACCTATCTCAAAAGAAACCAACCTGTGGCTAGAGGTAGCTCAGGTGTAGAGTGCCTGGGCCAGCTAACATACATACATAGCACCATAGTTTCAAGTTCTGGCCATGAATAAACCAGACTTTGTCAGCACTTGGAGGCGGAGGCAGGAGGACCAGAAGTCTGATAGCTCAGCACACTATGCGCCTGACAACATGAGCTCAAACTTCCGGGAACCACAGTGGAAAGAGAACCCACTCGTGAAAGCCATCCACTGACCTCTACATGAATGCGTTGGCATGTGACCCCAGCCCGCACACACATACCTGTCTCTTCCCTTCACACATATGCAAACTTTTTAAAATTCAAGGTCATCCTTGGCTTCATAGTGAGCTTAAGGCCAGCCTTGGCTACCTGAGACTGTTTCACAAACACTGGGATTGGGATCAGGATGCTGGAATAGACTGACTGGACCCTACTCCCAGTATAGACCCTGGAAATGGGTAGAGTCACAGTCCCCAACAGGAAGGACATCTCCAGTCTTCTCAACTCAGCCCCTCACCCCACAGTCCAGGAAAACTGAATCAGGAACCCAGATATATCTGCTGTCACTCTGATGGGAAAGTTCTACTGAGGTCTCTCTTCCTTCCCCAGATGGTTCCTCTAGCCTACAGCAAGCCTCCTGTCTGCAGGTCCCCAAGGCAATTAGCCCCCATCACCACCCCAACCCCAGCCCTGACCTCTAATCTATGACTGTTTGCATGGACCCAGTGAAACAGGTTTGCAGGATTCCGATGATGGCAATCCAATTTGCAAAACAAATAGTCCAGGGCATAAATATTTCTCTAGCTAACAAAGCAGGCCAACTCCACCCACCTGGAATCTTCATGAAAGCATAGGTGAGCAGGCATGCTTGGGCTGCTGTCCAGGTAGGCTTGCCCCCCATCCCCAACCCCCTGGTGAAGAGCTGACCATAATGAATCTGTAGGAATCTTAGTGGGAGCCCAGCGGATTCCCAGGGGAGGGTATGAGGCCACTCCTGGACAGTGTGTAATTGCATGCCTGCAGCTCACCATACTAGGCAGGCTGGCTTCGTGCTAGCCTGTGTTTGTGCATTGCGAAGAGAGAGAAACAGAAGCCCTTTTCAGTGTTCAGTCGCTTTCTAGAACTTTGGAAAGACAGAAGGGACACTCGGCTTTCTTCTCTCATTTCGTCGTCTACAAGAGCCTAAGCCGCTCCCAGGCTCAGACACTAGCCAGCAACAGGGAGCACACAGAAATTCCCTGCACACCAGACTCACCCCACACTCCCTGGGTGGCCTAGAGCCCTGGCAAAGTTCCAGGAGATGTTACCTGGCACTATGTGTGACACCCTAGTCAGGCTTAGTCCAGTGGAGGGGAGCAGCACTCTGAAAAAGGAGGTCTAGCCTGTGGTCCATAAGTACAGCCAGGACTAGAGGGAGTCTGGAGTGCAGGAGGGAGGGAACTACTCCCCAGAAGCGCTGAGGACCTAAGTGTCACTGAAAAATGGGCTCAGAGGCAGCTGGAAATGAGAGGATGAAGTGACCATTTGACACAGGGCCTAGCGCACAGCAGGAATTCTGTTCTAGGGCAGGGGAAACCCAAGCAGGTGCAGAGGCCACCTAGATGAGATTGGCTGAGGACAAGGAGCTCAGCAGACAGGGCTACAGACACAAAGCCAGCAGGGAGCAGCAGCCAAGAAGCTGATGCAGCTGGGATGAAATATAGCACAGCTGAGACACACAAACACACACACACACACACACACACACTCACGCCAATACACTCAACCCAGTGCAGGTCCTGGTCCTTCATAGCAAACACCCACTGGGCCAGAAGTCAAAGGTCACCCATATAGAGCTAAAGTTAGGGGAGACATCAACCTGCTCCCCTAGCCAAATGTCAGGAAGGGGCTACAATTGGTGAGTCCCCAAGCAAGAAAGACTGCTTCTCCCAGAACCCCAAAGACTTCAGGCTCTCCCCTCTCCTATTTGCTACCTGTCTTCCCCCAAAAAGACTAAGCTAGAACTCTGGCACAAGGGTTAAGGGAATTCTGATAGAAAACATTCTCTTCAAATTCCAGAGCTCACTGGGTAGCAGGTAAGCTGGCTGGAGAAGAAAGAAAAAAGCTGTCATCCTGGCTTTCAGCCAGGAAGTGGAGGCCCACCCAGAAGATGTCCCAAAGGAGGCTAGCAGACCATCCTGAAGCAGTCTCACACCCAAAGGGTTAAGTGCCCTAGTTTTTCTGAACCCCACTCCACTCCCCAAAGGAGGGAGGAAGTGGCAGAGAGTCAGGGTTTGTGTGAGCCCTTAAGAATTCAAAGAATGTCCCATTTCCCTTGGGGCTGGGAGGGCTGGGGGGGCTGGGTAGGCCAAAGAGCCATAGAGATCAGAAAGAAGGGGCCAAAAAAGCTGTGGGCCTTCCTCTACTCAAAGCCACCATGGGCTGGCCCTTTAGAAGGAACAATGGTCGTGACGCCTCTTGGGCTTGAGACTTTATCAGAAATCAGGTTCCCAGCACCTGAGATAGGTTGGCACATAGCAGAGGGCTGGCAACAAGCGTTTGGAAAATGTTCAAATCCCCAAGGTCTTGGGTCAAAGAGTTGGGGGCATGATTGCCTGCCCTCAAAGAGACAAGTCTCCAATTTCCCTTCCAGTAAACTTGGGCTAAGAAGAATTAAATTAGGAGACCAGCTGGTCATAGTGAAGCATGTTTATAAACCCACACATCTGGAGGCAAAGGCAAGAAGATCAGAAGTTTAAGCTATACTAGCCTGGGATAGATGAGACAAACAAGCAAAGATACCTAGACTCAAGTCAGATCATAAACATAAATGATTACTGATCTTGCCACCTTGCAAATGGCCTGAGGTCAGTGGCTGCACCGGCTCTGGACCTAATGCTGAGGTTCCACTCACTATTCATGAGTCCCCTCTGAAACTGCAGGTGACTCACCTGGATGGTGTCCCTCTAGGGTGGGAGACAATGGTCTCTCTCCCCGCAAGCCCTGCATTGAGCTTGCCACAACACAGGATTCTATACAAGGAACAGAAATCAAGCTAGAAACTCTCAGAATAATGGGCAAACAGTGTCTCTGGTCTCCCTGCAAGGCAGAAAAGGAGCTGCCTATGCCAGGCCACACCCTCCTCCTTCTCAATATATGAAAAGGTGGCTGAAGAGACAGATTAGCGGTTAAGAGCACTAGCTGATTTTGCAGAGGACCTGGGTTCAGTTTGCAGCACCTACATATAGGCTCACAACCACCTATAACTCCAGTTCCAGGGGATCTGATGCCCTTGTCTGGTCTCCATGGATACCAGGCACACAAGTGGTACTCATACATACATGTAGATAAAATATCCATACACATAAAATAAAATAAATGAACAAGTCTTTTTTTTTTGTATTCTCAAAAAAGAGAGAAATAAATGAGATCTCTAGAACATTCTAGAAGGGACAATGGAGAAAAGAACCACCGAGTGAGAGAAAGCCAAGGGAAGAATCACACTCCCAAGCCTGGATATCATGCAGCAGGCACAGGGGAAGTCACCCACTGGCTTTACTACCCAGAGGCTCTATGAACCAGCCTCATGATCCTGAGGAAGCCCCCTCCCTCCCCAAGCCTGTGTTCTCATCTGTAAAATGGGGACAGTAAGAGCACTCTGCTATGAAGGGACAATGTGATCACAATCTACCAAGTAGGGTGTGCAAGTGTTTACAATGTCACCTTGGGCTACCAGAGGGGAAAGAACTTGGGAGGGAAGCCAGGTGCCCCGAAACCCCGTGTCCCCACTGAGACTCACGCATTGCAGTAGGGCTTCTTCTCATAGCCCTTGTAGTTCTTCATGTTCAGCGTCATCTTGCAGGTCTCGCAGTGGAAGCATGCTTTATGCCAGTACTGGATGGGGACAGAGGGAGGACACGATTAGAAAGCAGGACTTCCCTAAGCATAGGCATGCAAGTTCTCCACCCAGGTCTCATACCCAAGGCTACAAGAACACCTAGGGAAGCTGGGTAGTGGTGTCAGCACACGCCTTTAATCCCAGCACTCAGGAGGTAGAGACAGGAAGGAGGATCTCTGTGAGTTCAAAGCCAGCCTGGTCTACAGAGTGAGTTCCAGGACAGGCTCCAAAGCAACACAGAGAAACCCTGTCTTGGAAAACAAAAACAAAAACCAAACCACCACCTGGTGAACAGGAGCATTCCAGGTCACAGGCTCTGGCAGCCAATGACACCCCCTCCCCTCCTCATGTCCCCACCAGGCAATATTCAGCTGACAGGACAGTGAGTAGATCAGCTTAGAGAGTAAAAGGGGGGAAACCCAGTCATGAAGGAGACAGCAGCCCCGAGAAGGGCCATCTCCACTTCCCTAGACCACTTCAGTCCAGAATTGGATGAGACTCATGATTATGCAAAGCGGCACTCCGTTGCTAAGCAGCACACTGGGAAGGAGCAGGTCCTCTGCCACCAAGCCAGTAGAAGAGAGCCCAGCCAGTGGCACAAAGGCCCAGCCTAAGGCATGCCTATCCTCCCTCTAATCAGCTGACCCCCTTGAGCTCCTGAAGAACCCCATTAGAGGAGCCCTAAGTGCCCCAGCCACACCCACATTCTTTCCACCTCTCCCCCACCTGGATGAGGGTTGGAGACACCCCACAGAGGCAGAAAAAAGCTTTGCTTCAAAGACCTGCAGCTAGACTCCAGGTGTGTCCCCATCACAACCCCACCCAGAGAGCTGGATGACCTTGGCCTCACCCTGTCCATACTGCACCTGGGAATCTGATTCTACTTCCTGTGTACGCACTGCATACAATATCGCCTGTCCTCCCAGGATTGTTAGAGATTCATGAGAAACCACCTGTGCCCAGGAAAGCACCTGGCACCTACCTACTGCTTCTGTGCAGCTGCTGGACACTGGAGGCATTCACACAGCCTTACCTGAGTTCCAACATGGGTACATGGGACAGAGGAGCAAACCCTGGAAACCCAGGGTTCTAAAACGAGGCCATCAAGACTACCCCAGGGTGGTTGATGGAGGGAAGGAGAAACCAAGTGAAGCAACTCCATCCCAGAATCTAGGCTGACTGGGCATCTGGCTGTTTGTAGCTGCCTGTCTCAGCTGTCAATGGAGATACTTTGACACCCAAAGGAATTTGTCAGAGGCCAGAGTGATAAACCTCAGAAAGTGCCTGAGCAGTAGGACTGACTCCCCACCAGCCATTTGTCAAAGAACTCCCCTAAAGAGGTGCTTTTTAAAATGTGTTTCCCAAACTAAAAACTTCAGACACACTTGGGGGAGGGGCCGGAAGAAAGGAAGTTCAGTTGCTGGGACTCCACCCCTACACCTCAGCACACTTCAACCAGACACCAGGGCTATTTCTGGGGGCAATGGCCCTCTAATGGAACATTTTTTCTATCAAGAAGACCCAAAGGGAGGGGGGAATCTAACAGGGAATGTTAACAAGGCGACTCAGGAAAATTTTTGGGAAGAAAGCCAGCAGTAAGTCTAGAAGCAAAGGGTGGGTGGGTCTGAGCTGGGCCCCGGCCCCACCTGGGTCCATCCTAAGGTCACTGCCTTCACCCCCACCCACAGTAACTTTCAGAAACCTTACTGTTGAGTCACATAAGCCCAACATAAAAAAAAAAAAAAAAAAAAAAAAAAACCACCAGGAACATCAAAACAGGGTGGTCCTTTCCCTATAGATTCCCCTAACTGGGAGGCATTGGCAGATTGCCCCAACACTGTCACCAGCCAGTCTGCGGCCTCTGCCTGTATGCCCCTGCCTGGGCCCCTGCCTCCCCCACCCCCGCAGGGGCCTGCCAGGAAAAACATTCTGCAGAATCCAGACCATGACCCACTTTCTCACACACGTAAGCAGGGATACACTGTCCTAGGGCTAGGGACCTCCAAGGTCGCCTCCTAACAGATTCTGAATCAGGAAAAAGATCTCTACCAGATGGCCAGTTCCCCACCCTCGAGCCAAGCCCAGTGAAGGAAGAGTGCACCGAAAATACAGACTAGCACCTGGCCTAGAGTTCCCACAGGATAGGCTGTCCCCAAGAGTTAGGTCCCATTTCCAGTTTACCCCTAGAGATCATCCAAAGGGACCCAGGGTTCTCAACTTGATACATCAGTCTGGGACAAGGGAGAATGGTCATCTGCCCTTTTGGGGTGGCTGCTAAGGAGTAGAGTAATGGAAACCAGAATGGGTTCAGGATCTGCTGAGTGACTCACCAAGGGGAGTCAAGTAGGGCTACAACTGTTATCTCCCCTGGGGACTGTAGGAAAACCAGAAGGCCCCTCCTTGAGGGAGACAGGAAATGGTAACTCATTCAGTAGTGCTTGTGAACCAATTTCAGACGGAGAGACTTCATCCTGTGTCTTGTCAGGTATGGGGAAAAGAATGCCTGCTATAAGAAGAAAACAGCACACTATTCCAAGAGGACCTACCTTCTTCACCTGCTCCTAGGAGCCTTAGTTCCCAGTAAGAGTGGCCCTGTTTGCCAGGCCCAGGGCAGACTTTAGGCATGGACTCCTGGGATTTGTGACTAAGGAACCAAACCACACCTGGAGCCATGCAGGTCAGAAGGTGCCGCCAGTCACAGCCCAAACTGGCCACGTGAGGCAGCTCAGTCAGACCCCAGGCACCGGAGGACACCCACCCTTCCCGCCCTGTCTGAAATGCTACGTGAGAAAATGACAACAGAAAGACAAACAGGCAGGTGGGGATGGATGACCCAGCAAGGATCCCACTCACTGAAGCCACACCCTGTGGTTCCATGGCTCTAGGGGAGGGGAGAGGAGTTTCATTCAGGTCCATGTAGCTGTAGCCTGTCACCTGCTCCCTAGGGTGACAGTGACTCAGGGCTGGACTATGAGACTCCTCCCTTCCTGTAGCCTAGAGCTAGGCTTTGTCCCTCTTTTAGAGCCAAAACTGGCACCCAGCACCATCCAGGCTCAGACTATCAGCCTAACTGAGGGCCTCTGGTTTATAAACCCGATGCTCTTTTACAATTTCTTTCTAGTAACCTGAAGCTCCCAGAGCCACAGCCCTCAGGATCCTAGGTCCAGACAGGATGAGGAAGGGTGGGACCCATTCCCCACCCCATCCAGGGTTTCACTAGGTAGCCCTGGCTGACCTGGGAAGCCTCAAATTCAGAGATCCTCCTGCCTCTGCCTCCCAAATGCTGGGATTAAAGGTGTGCATCAACATGCTGCCTGAGTGGGGCCCACTTTTGGAAAAGCGTCAGTGTAAATAAAAATATGACTTTGAAAATACACCAGCAGATTTCCTGAACAGCCAGAACTGGCAAGGTAGCTCAGTTGGTAAAGGGCTTGCTTAGCAGGCACAAAGACAAAATTCTGTGTTCAAAACTCACTGTAAGAGTTGGGTGTGGTGGCAGAACATCATTCCAACACTTGGGGGGTGGACGCAACAGGAGGACTGGGAGTTCAAGGATAGCCTGGGTCACTTGAGACCCTGTCTTAAAAAACAAACAAACAAACAAACAAACAAAAACCTTTGCAACTCATAGTGACACACGACTGTAATCCCAGCATTAGGAAGCTGAGGTAGGAGGACTTTGAGGAAAAAAATAAATAAATAAGAACTTCAGCTAAAAGGAGGGAGACAGGCTGCCCTGTCTATTAGCATCCTCTGGGTGGATAAGGTCACAGGGAATGTGGCCCAACACAAAATGGTAAGCTTACTTAAAATATTAGAAGAAATGTTTTGTTTTTGCAATTTGAGCAACTTGGTTGGATTTCTCTTTAGAGAACTTTGAGATGACAACGTCATGTCCCAATGTCAAAAGGTTGGACACACTTGCTGAGAGGACTCATAGCTTATAGGAGCTATCTTGGGTCTCAATATTTTGCTAATTCTAGTACCAGCCAATCCAACACTTCCTCTGGCTTCTTTGGACACCAGGCATACACATGGTGCACAGACATATGTGCAGACAAACATCCATACACATAAAATAAAACAAACAACAACAGAAATGTTTTTCATGGCCATGTGGACTTTGTTCTTTTGAGGGAAGAGGGATACACTCAGACAGCCATTTAGGACAGGAGGCCCTCCTCTCTAATGGGACATTCCAAAGCAACTGTCAGGAGAGCCAATCCCCTAGCCTTCCTGACTGCCCCCGCCTGTTTTTAGAAGCTGAGGGAGAAAGAAAGTGAGAAAGATGTGGCAGAGTCTCCACAGTACAGGTCACTAGCTACAAGGTAGGTGCTCAATAAATATTTGTGAAATGAATGAGGTCACCCGGGCTCTCCTTCCTGCTCCAACCCCAGAAACCCTCTAGGGAAACAAACCACAACCTCCTTCCTTCAATCAGCAGCAGCATTTCATGTTTATCCAGCATGCACTATGGGCTGGGGACAAAGTGGCCTTCATTGGTGACAAGGTTTGCCCACTGATGCCTTTGAGAGATAAGGCCCAGGGAGGAGAGAAGACTGCACATCAAGGACACAGCTTATGCCCTAGCCCTGCTGCAGGCTGCATGCCATAGGGGATTGCAGTAGTAAACCAGGCCAGTCTGCCTTGATTCTCCCTGGCTGTCAACCAGAATTGGGAAGTTGGGTAGCAACCATGCCTATGGGAATGAAATTTCCCCACACCCAGGTCTCTGCTCAGCATTCTCCAGGGCTCCAATTCTAACTGTCTGTTCTTACTGCCTGTAGGGCATGGAAGGGAGAGGAGACAGGATAGCAGGATTTTCCAGTCCCTGAGTGGGGGTGGGGGGGTAGGGAAAGGCAGGTGTTTCTCCAGGACCACTTCCACTAGGGGGAGTTGTAAAACCAGGAAGGAATCACCCACTCACTTCCCAGGGCAATCCCAACTTGTACACCTTCTAGCTAGGGAAGGAATTATCACATAGGACCCCTGCCCCCTTCTCTGTGACAGAGCGCTGAAGGTCTTTACAAGGAGATCGGTTGGAGTGCTGGGCAGAAAAGAGAGAACATCCTTGACCACTCTCCCTGCACTGTCCACCTCTGAGGCAATGACATCATCAATACACATCTGGTGAATACTGAAGCCCAAAACCATTCATAAAGCTGATGGGCATAGATGTGGAACTAAAACCAAGTCATTTCCCAGGTTAGCAATCCTTCCATCATTCACTGTCTCTCCCCATTCATTACCCAAGACCGTAAGAGGAGGCCACTTGATGGCCTAGGGAACTGCAAAAGCAGGGGTCAAAACACCTGGCCAGGAACAGCAAAGACCTTCATGGAAGGACAGTTAACCTCTCGAGGCTTTTTTGGGCGGGAGGGGGTCTCCACCCGGGAGCATCAAGCTCAAGCCCGACCCTCCAGGGGCTAGGACAGTGAGCAGTCAGCACCTTCCATAAACTCCTCCTAGCCTCCTGTCTAGTCAAGCCTCCCCATGTCCCTTTCCTCCAGAAAAAAAAAAGTTCAAATGTTTCAGAACCTCAAGTCCCCACCTCCTGACCTGGACTCGGGGGTCAAAGGTACCTAAGAATGAACTAATCTTAGCCGAGAGAGGAGAGGCAAAGTATCCAACAAAGTATCCATTTCCAACAAAACTAAATTCCCTCTTTCAGGCGCCTGTTCAGACATAAAGGTGGAAATAGGTAAACTCGGATCCAGCTTGGGGAGCTAGATACAATGTACCTATGAGGAGCCAAAACAGAGGCTTCCTGCAGAGCGGAACAGAGAAGGGACAGGTTGCCATAGGCTACTAAAGGTTCACAGAAACACAAGAGGGTCCCATCTCGAACTGTACGGGAAACACCCAGATTCACTCGTCAGTACCCCTTACAAAAGTGTAACGACAACCAGATGAATGAGTCCTGCCTGGGCCGGGGATGTGGAAGAGCCCCTAGGGGACAGCTAATTTCCAGAAGGCTACACTCCCTCCTCTAGAAAAAATTCTCCCTTTCCTTGGCTTCCCCAGAAGTCGGCCAATCCCTCCCTCATTGATGAAACCAGCTCTGAAAAGTTAGCTCTTTGTTCTCCAAGCTGGTCTCCAGGCTGAGCACAATTTCAGATCTCCGGGAAGCGTCTCCTCCAACCCTCTTCACCCCAACACCCCACCCCGCCCAGCTCCTGCTGGGCTGCCCAGCACCCAGAGTGGCTTGCGATTTGAATTAAGGATTAGGAAAGCTACGGAGGTCTGCGGGTTCCCTAACCACGGAACCAGCAAGGAGGGGGGGGGCAGTCCAGCAGGTCCTTCAAAGGGGGGGTCTCAAAATGAGATTCCAGTGCTGCCCTAAGTCTCTTTCACAATTGGCAAAGACGGACCCGATAGCTTCCAGGCCAGGAAGCTGGGCTACCAGCTGCCTAAACCTAAACCTGGAGGGTAGCGCTTGGCCCCTGCCTCCGCCCCGCCCCCGCCGCCCCCTCCCCCAGCGCCCCGCGCTTCCGCCTACTTGGCGCTGGGCGCCGCGGGGAAAGGGAGCGGCCGTCTCCTCTCTCTCACTCCCGGCCCTGGGGGGGCGGGACTGCACCTCTAACCTCCAGCACACACCCGGCGATCCTGGTTCCCCAGTGTCCTCCCGCCCTCCCAGCCTTCTCAGTTCCGAGGCAGAGCCCATCCTTCTCCAGAGGTATCTGCCCACCGCCTCGCCTTGGATTTCCCGGGTTCCAGACTCGGGTCTGTCCCCGCACCCCAAGTCACCTCCCGCCTTCCTTTCCTATTCAGGGGATCACAGGGAAGAGCCCGCAAAGACCCAGTCCCTCTTTCCTCCCCCGATTGGGAGCTGCACTGGGACTGCCTAGCCCGCGGCGCCTGGTGCCGGAGCTCACCTTATCCAGACAGTTCACCTTCTCCGTGGGATACACGATCTTGCCGCACCGGGCGCAGTTAGGGTTCATGGTGCCGGGGAAAGACTGGGGCGGTGACGCCCGAGCTCGCGCGCGTTCCCTTTTCCTTGGGTGAGCGGCTGGCTGGGAGGCGGCGGCGGCTGCAAACGTGCAGGCGACGGCGACTGGAACTGGGGAACTGGCCTCCGCCTCCGCCCTCCTTCCCCTAATAAACACAGTGGGGAGGAGGGGCTGCACAGGCTGGGGCGGGGACGCGCCTCGGGCGCGGAAAGGGGCGCGCGCGACCAGGCGCGCTACCGGAGCGACGTGGGGCTGCGTGGGGGCGGGTTCCGGGGAGGGCTGCAGGACGTGGGTGCTGGACCCCTAAGCTCCCGGGGTACCCCAGGCACTGGGCTCCCCGACTGACGGTAGCCCCTGGCCACGGCCCTTCCCCCGCCCCTGTCTCCAACACGTAGGCGACTGCGGCAAAGCTCGATATCCCGAGAGAGCCGATCCCGAGCACCCGACCTGGGTGGGGATGGGACGGGTTCTCCAGACTCGGGGACTTTCTTTATACCAGTGGGTACCCAGCGTTAACCGGAGGGGAACCCCACCTGCCCCGCCCAGTGCCCCAGCTAGTTCCCTTCCCGCCCACGTCCTCTCCTACGTTGGTACCTGCCCCCTTTCCCTTTGGACTCAGCGCGTCCGGGTGTTCACCCTTCCTGCGCCTCTGAGCTGCAGCATTCCTGGGATTTAAGCATCCTCTGCTTTTAGTTTGCGCCCACCCCCAGCCCTTGCTCTTTCGTTCTTTTCCCTTACCCTTATTCTACCGGTGTAGCAGCTGCGACAATATCTTACTACTGAAAAGAATCGGTTCCAACCGCTTTGGTGGTGTGGGGGTATAGCTCAGTGGTAGAGCATTTGACTGCAGATCAAGAGGTCCCTGGTTCAAATCCGGGTGCCCCCTCGGAGTATTTTCCTCAACTTAATGACAAAATAGAAGTACATGTTTCAAATGTGATCTTGATTCAATTCCTGACTAAAATAGGTCCAAAGGTAAAGGTTTTTCCCCCTCATTTTATAATCTGAGCAGAAAACCTTCGATTTTGCCTTGTTCCTAGTGGAAGAATGCGACGTGGTTATGGTCAACTATGAGAAACAAGTTTGTGCCACCTCAATTTGACTGGCGCCAGAGTGCTGATTTCTGCCCACGGCAGCCTTGCGGGTTTTGATTGGATGGTTCCACACTTTGGGTTCGAGAGCCAAGGTCACTACTACTGTGTGTGTCCTATGAGGGTCAGGGTATGTCAGAGCAAGGGAAACTCACAGACATAGCCTTTCTCAAACCTAAGCTTTCATTTCCCTTTTTATTTCATTCTACGTTCTTTATCATTCTATCTTCTCAAGCTTCCCTATTGCTTGATGATGCGGACCGAGTCAAAACTCTTCGATAACATGAAACCAGCAGATGCACCTATCAGCTCTCTACAGTACAGAGTAAGATCTAAAAGCCAAAGAATATAAATTAATATCGTGGTTTTCAAACTTGTGCGTGCTCCAGAATGACCTGGAGGGCTTATTAAAACATCTGCAGTTTCCCATTGTGTAGACCTGGACAGAGGCCTTGCCAGTTAGCTCTTGGGGGGGGGGGGGGATGTCATCCAGGTGAGGCACGGAGGGACGCCTGAGTGTTACTACAAAGCCATCAGGTTTTAAATCCTCAAATGGGAACAGGTATCTATCTGCTGAGTGCGTGGCTTCCCGTATCTGGGCTGGAAGAAATCCTAGTGTGAAGAGGGAAGCCAGGGCGGCCCCCTCGGTTAGGTTTTGCCCAAAAAAAGGAAAAAGAAGAGACAGGGTGAGGCGTGCTGCCTGGGCCAGGGTGCGGCTGTGATATTTTAAACACGGAATCTGGTTGTGTCATCCCAGGACCCCAGGGGAATACTCTCGTGCATTTTTTGCCTCCCAGTTCCCATTACTGTTCTATGCTGGGCTGGGCTGTAGAGAGCTGCGGGGCAAAGCGCAGAAATACCTGGCAGCCCTTCTCCCTCCCCAGGCACCAGGCCTTGAAATTGCATGTTATCAGGCCTCAACTTCTCAGTGAGAAAGTTCTCATCTATATCTTTAGACCGCATCTTCCCCCACCCCCATAGAACGTCATGTAGCCCAGGCTGGCCTGAATTTGATATATAGGCCAAGGCTAATCTTAAACTCCCTTGAACTCTGATCCTCGTGTCTCGAACTGTCAAGTGCTGGGCTTAACAGACATGTACTACCACACCTGGCTGTAACATGTCTTAAAACCAACAAGTGTATAAACATTCTGTATCTGGATTCATCTTTAGTCTTTTGGGTCAGGATATACACTATGTAAAAATATTATTGCCTTCACACCTTAGTACTCTGTGGAACAAAGACGAGTTGTGCTCAGGAGAGTGGGGATCCTACTACTTACTAACTGACTCTGAGGTACCAGGAACATTCTGGTGGGGAAAATTCGGAGGGTAGAGGGGATTTTTGACTTGGAATAACAATTATGTATCTGTCAATGAAAAATACACACAGTAAGGGGGCACCCGGATTTGAACCGGGGACCTCTTGATCTGCAGTCAAATGCTCTACCACTGAGCTATACCCCCTCTGCTGGTATAAGGTTAGAAAATTCTTTTTACATGAGTTGTGTACTTTTCATTTTGAGACTTGTTTAATTGTTTATACTTTTAAAAATAGCATCTTTTTGCTAAATAATATTGAATTTAACCATTAAGAAGGCATACATCTCAAACTAAACAACAAAATAACTAAATCATGCCGACAATTTGAAAATATGAATTTAGCTTGCAAACTTTTTTTTTGTTTGGGGGGAGTTTCCAGACAGAGTTTCTCTATATTGCTTTGGAGCCTGTCCTGGAACTATCTCTGTAGACCAGACTGGCCTCAAACTCACAGAGATCTGCCTGCTTCTGCCTCCCAAGTGCTGGTAAGGTTTGCACCACCAACACCCAGCAAACTTTATATGTTTTAAAAAAGCTGTGTTTTACAATGTAACCAGAATGTTACATTGTACAATGTTCAGCTGGCCTGGAATGCAAATTCCTTTTGTTAGGATAAATACTTTATCACATCTCCAATCATTTATCTTTCTCTTGCATACTGTATTGGAAGACTTTCCCCCAGCTCTCTCCAGAATACAAATACTACCTCAAACAGAATGCCCACTGAGAGGCATTTGTAGTTTGTAAAGTAGTGTCATGATGCCCTCTTTTGATTCTTAGAGCATTCACTATGTCACCCTCTCAAGAAACAGAGCAAACTTTCAACTTAAAAAAAAAAAAAAGAAAGAAAAAATGGCCCTAGCTCTCTCTGAATTCACAATGTATTAGAGACAAGACTAGAAATAAGTGCACAGGTGAATTAACATAAATACTTGCCAAGGCGGTGGCGGCACTGGCACATCTTTAATCCCAGGAGGCAGAGGCAGGCAGATATCTTAGAGTTCAAGGCCAGCCTGGTCTATATAGCCAGAACTACACAGAGAAATCTTGTCTCTCTTGAAACCCCTCTCAAGAAAAACTAAATGATAAGGGAAAACACTTAAAAACAAAAAACAAAACAACAGAGGCCCGGAGTTGGTGGCACACGCCTTTAATCCCAGCACTCAGGAGGCAGAGGCAGGCCGATCTCTGTGAGTTAGAAGTCAACCAAAACAAACAAACAAAAACCAGTGTCAGCTAGTGGTGGTGCCTGGGATGGATTTAGCACTTAATAAACTCTGCCGATAAATAAATAATACTAAAAGCACTAAAAACAACATATTTAGGAAAATACCAGAGGGTTACTTCAAGTTGGATAGGCATTGAAGAACTTTATTCTTCTGTCCTTTACATAGAGTGATGAGACTCAAATCCAGGGTACATGAGGCAGTACACACTTCGCCATTAAAGTAATACCTTCCCAGCTGTGTGGGAAGGCAGGCAAGTGATCTAGCAGTTAAGACTGGAATGACATTTAAAAGGGAACCCTTTGGTGATCTGTGTGGGATGGATATTCTAGGCAGAGGAAGTGACCTCTGGGCAGTCCTTAAAGATGGGGGAGGTTAGGAGGCCAGGAAGAACAATTCAAGAACTAAAGTATCAGGAGTCACATGCCTTTAATCTCAGCACTTTGCGGGGCAGAGACAGAAGGATCTCTGAATTCCAAGCCAGCCTGGTCTACATATAAAATGAATGAAAATGTATGGTACTGTTTAAATGAAGGGAGTTTAAATCATCATTGAGATTAATACAGAGGAGATTTATGGGAAGTCAAAGGGACCTGGAAAAAACATCCTATGTAGTATTACTTAGCTTCAGGAAAGATGGTCTATAACATGCAACGTGGTGAATTTTGTTTGGTTGCTTTTGTTTTTCAAGACAGGGTTTCTTTGTGTAGTCCTGACTGGCCTGGAACTCCAGCTATAGACCAGGCTGGCCTTGCACTCAGTGAGATCCACCTGCTTCTGCCTCCCAAGTACTGGGATTAAAGGCATGCGCCACTACTGCCCAGCTAACACGGTGGATTTTAAGAACATTATGCAGATTATGGACAGAGAGACCCTGTCTCAATAAATTAATTAATTAAGTGAAATTTGGACACTGCATGATTCCAGTTACAAAGTATGTAGAGAACCACAAAAGTAGGAGGGGAAATGGGTGGTTAGTAGGGCCTAGGACAGAAGGACACAGGGAGCTGCCATCAGTTATATAGAGGTGAGTGAATTCTAGACAATGGCTATTCAACTTTGCGACATGAGCCCTGAGGTGTGGCTCAGTGGTGGTGGGGGCTTGCCTGACAGACCCCAGGCCCTGTGCTGGATCAGTAACAAGAAAAAACCAGGATCAGACTCAAGGTCTCTAGGTATGATAGTACATACTGTAATTTCCAGCACCATGAGCATCAGAAAGGCCAGCCTCAAGTACATATCAAATTCAAGGTCAACCTGGGCTACATGACACAAAGACAGAAAGGATAAAATGTTTACGGAAATAAAAAGTCAAGCATTTCTCTTTGGTGCTAAGGATGTACTCAGTGATAGAGTAACCTAGAATATTGAAGGTTCTGGGCTGTGGGCTGTGGGTTAGAGCCTAACACACACACACACACACACACACACACACACACACACACACTCACCATGGTCTTTGTGGGCAACAAGATAGTTTAAGTAAAGTTACTTGTTATTCAGCCTGATAATTTGA